CCAGCATCCTCCTACCTTCGCACGTCCTGTGGGCGTAAGAATGTGAAGTACCCAGGTTAGAGGCACTGAAGGGCGTGCATGATGCCACCATCATTTTGATCAGACCTTTGAGTCGGCTCAAAACGAGATGACTTTTGAGTTGACTAAAAAATGTGAACCTAGGTTAGAGGCACTGAAGGGCGTGCATGATGCCACCATCACTTTGATCAGACTTCGCAAGTGCATAGACCACATCACTCTTCCTCCCCCCCTCCCACAAACCAGTGGTACGAGCCTCCCACAGCCAGTGGTACGAGCCTCCCACAATGCAGTAGCAGCCCAGGGAAAGGCACTCTCTTGGCAAAACGCCACCAGGATCTCGGGGTGGCAGCGGCGAGGCGAGTCGCCATGAGCATGGAACGCATATTCGGAGCATTGACAACAGGAGGCTGTGGAGCTTTGGGCTCCCTGCTGCTCCTGCTGTTCTCTCCTCCATCCCCGACAGTCCGCCTCCTTGGATAACTATCATCAACATCCGCCACTGTAGCCATGTGACTAACCCCTTCAACATCCCTGCCGTTCACACCAATCCCGAGAGAGTACAGGCTGCTCCACTCCACATAAAGGTCCTCAAGAGGCCAGCCATGCCTCACTATAATCGTCTCCACTGTTGGTGCTATGCTGCTGAGTAACTGGGTAGTGCCATGCCACTGCACCGGAGACGTTGCTAAGGTGGAAGCGAGGGGATGGCGCGGCGACGAGGTTAGACCAGAACGGTTACCACGTGACCCAGGTTCCTCTTGGCTGGTGGTTCCGTTCAAGTATACCGTGGCGGCAGATGCGAGAGGGAGCAAAGAAACGGCAAGCCTTTTGCGGCCGACTTGACTTTTGAGTCGACTCAAAAGTCAACTCGGCAGATGCGAGAGGGAGCGAAGAAACGGTAAGCTTCTTGTGGTCGACCAAGGTGAGAAAGTCGAGAGAGGGAGGGCTGCTGGCTGGCATGACAAGCGAGTTTCAGCGACTCTGCTGTAACTGAGAGAGCTTTTAAAGACGCAAGGAGGGAGAAGCGCATGTCCAGATTTTGATTCTCACAGCTGATGTCGATAACTGCAGCAGCGAGGAAGCGTAGATTCTCGGAAGTGGCAAGTAGGAATTCAAGGGCAGTGTGTGGTGTCTGTTTGAGGAACCAGGCGAGTGATGTCTGCCACTGGGCTAGGGAAATTCGTGGCAGAAGGCGAACATGATGGGCTGCAGCTCCTGCACGCACAGCACACACACACAGGGATGGTGGCGACGGCCAGTTGACTTTTGAGTCGCCTCAAAAAGGTCAACTTGTTTCCTGCCATTTTGGGACGTCGTGGCAGAAGGCGAGAATGATGGGCTGCAGCTCCTGCACGCACAGCACACACAGGGATGGTGAAGGCGACTTGCACGATATGGAAACATTGCAACTCGTGGCTCGGCATGGAATGGCACGGCATCTAGACAAACTAGTCTCACGCCATGAATGTACACATGGAAATGGGACGAACGGGGCAGCACCACAGCATCGACTCGCGGAGAAGGAGAGGACAGCACCTCAGAGCATCGACTCACGGTGGAGGAGAGGACAGCACCTCAGAGCATCGACTCACGGTGGAGGAGCCTCTTTCTGGCGACAGCAGCGCAGAGCAGAGGCCACACGGAGACGTGCAGCATGTTGTTCTCACCATGTTGCACCCTGGCGGTCAGCAAGCTGACTTTTGAGTTGACCCAAAAGTCAACTCGAGGCCACGCGGAGCCGTGCAGCGTGTTGTTCTCGCCATGTTGCACCCTGGCGGTCAGCAGGTCCACCAAGGCACTAGAACTGCTGTCTTCTCCCCACGATGATATTCCCTCTGAAGAATTCTCCCGGTTCTGCTAAAGCTGAGCGGAATGTGCTGGTGGCAGCACAGCAGCAGGTGGCGGAAGATGATGTGACAGATGAGGCCAGGTTTTGAGGCGCCTCAAAAACAGATGTGGCCAAGCAGCAGATCAACCACGTTCTGGATCAGGTGGGTGGGGGAGAGATGAATAAAGAAAAACGTTCCACGCTCGGAATCTTTCGGCGGCAGCAATAGGTGGCGGAAGATAATGCGCCGGATGGGGCCGGGCAGCAGAGCAACCACGTCGTGGATCAGGCGGGTGGGGGATGAGAAGCACTGGAGATGAGAGCGGAAGAGAGCGGGAGAGAGAGAATAGGAGAGGATTAGGGGAGGATGCGCGAGGAAAAGGGGGAAGTTGGAGTTGAATTCGCTGTTCACAACATCAAGCTCACCCCGTGAGAATGCCCAGCACCGGAGGAGGGTTATTCTCAAAGAACATACTCGAGGAAACGGGAAAGTCGGATTCACTGTTCGCAACATCACGCTCACCTCGTGAAGTTGTCAAGCACCGGGGGGCTGTGAGGGCTGTGTGAGTTGGAGTGCAGCCATGGTCTCGTTCAAAACTGCATCGCCATGGCTGGAAGCCATCGGCCCGGTGACAATTCCGGGATTCAATTCGTCTCGGGTTACAAAAAAGTCGTCAGATGTTCGAGTTGCTGGAGGGTTACAGTACGGAGGGTCTCATGGAAGCAAAACCAATACTCTTTAGGTCCACCTGGCATTGCTTTCGCTGACGATGAGTTGAGTTCGCGAACCTCAAGGCTCAGATACTCTGCAAGTCTTCTCCTGGTCGTCCCAGACGTCCTGTCGCTCGCCGTACTCACAACATCGTGAAAACCCTACCCCCCTCACCGGTCAAGGTCAGCCACGACATGACGAGACTCGCCTGTCGTCGCCATAGCGGCGCGGCGGCAGTAAACAGCGACGAGGCGGGCTGAGTGAGTTCGCCGTAGCAGCGCGACACGGCGCGGCGCGGCGGGCAAAACGGGGAAAAATCACGGACACGGCGAAAGGACGGTGAGGTAGGCCTGCGGTGCGTTCCGCATAGCGAAGGCTGCAAGTCTCCATTTTCTATGAAATCTAGACACATCGAAACAATGAATGGCGAGAAGCATGCTGCTTTGGCCCCCACAGTTGGCGGTGGGTTCTCGGACAGTTGGATGGCTGACCAGTGTGGCAGCAGCAACTGGATCAGTGCAGTCAGTAATAGAATCGTCTTACCTGAACTTCTGGAGGACTTACTGCTCTTACAGCCTCAAGCATCTGTTCATTCGTGACACGGCATCACAAGTACCTTAATATGGGTATTAGGGAAAATGAGTGGGATCACAAATTATGCAGGGGTTGTTAACGAACCAGTATGAGAACAAATTTGTACAGTAATAGCAGTGGCGAATCTGAACCTGCGAATGTTGCAATGGCCTGGCATCACGCCGCGACTATCGGTTGCAAATTGATTTGTCCAAATATTTTGGAATTGCCAGCTTGGCTGATCGTGTAGGCCCCGCCAGCGCTGGCTGTGGAAACTTTCGCAGCGCTGGAAGGAAATTCCATTCGTTGGGAGGAAATTCCATTCGCACTTTTCACACCACCTGCGATGCGATGCATAACGGGCTACTTCAGCATTTGATTCGACCTGGCGCGAAACAAGAAATGCCATCCCGCCACCAGAGAGTCTCTGTCAACCCTCCCCTATCTCTGAGGGCCTGAGCCCTCTTCCGCTCCCAGGCACGGCGTGAACATCGCACGCTGTATTACAGAAACCTGCGCTGCGAAAAGAATCGCAGAAGTGCCTGGCTTGGGTTTCCGCAGCCGCTGTGCTTGGGAAAGTCCCACCTGTGTGTACGCCGAAACATGCGCACAGCGTGTGAGCGTCACGCACAGCGTGTGAGCGCCACGCACAGCATCGCAAAGACAAACTACTATGTCGTGGGAGTCCCAACCGCACAATGGCCCCACTCCTAGTAATGGGGAGTCCTATATAACACGCGCGTCGTCTCGCATTCTCATCATTAGACGCTCACCTTCTTCCGAACATCCCAGCCAACCACCTGTTAAACGGCTATTCCTCTCACGCTTTACTATCTTTCCGAGTCGGTATCAATCTTTGCCATGGCTCTGACGAAGCAAGGTGCTGCTACCACGGCTGCGGCGCTGCCGTTGCTTCTGTTTGTGCTGCTCTTGACGACAGCCGCGGCTGGTAAGGTCCCGGTGCATTCGTATTGGTGCATTCGGGTTCAGATTCGGCGGTTATGCTTGAGTGAGGGTACCTAGCTTGGCTGGTAAAGATCTAGTATTCGTATAGTAGTTCATTCCCGTTCCGAACGGTATGGTCTATCTGGAGAATCGGCGTGTGGGTGAAGTTCTATCATGTTTATCTGCAGTGGATGCTACTAGTACCACAAGTTTTGATACAATGGTAGTCTTCTGACCTAAGGCCCTTCCGTTGTTCTCTGCGCAGCAGCATCCAAGGGATTCTCTGCCCCGCGGCGCATTCTGCAACTCCATGCAATTGCGGGCCGCGGCGGCTACCTAAAAACCGACGTGACCACCCCAACCGCCGTGAATGTGGAAGCTTTGACCAAGACAGCCACCACGCCCATGAAAATGGCAAAACCGGAGACGGCGGAGCATCTCATGAATACTGGCAAGGTTGAGCCGACAATGGCGAAAACCTTGTCCCCCTCGACCCCTGTGAAAATGGCGAAAACCTTGTCCACCTCGACCCCTACCGCCGTGAAAATGGCGAAATCCAAGCCCTAGTAGGGCATTCCGGGGCCTTCCTTCACCTCCTCTTCCTTGTGCTGTGGCTGGTTGCTCAGTCTCGGCAGCACCACTCACACTTGAGCGAGCTGCCAATGGTCAGCACATGAGGACTAGTTGTGTCAGTGAGGGGCTGTAGGTTTTTTGTGCAGAGGATTTGTTCTGGATTTGTTGTAGAATAGGTTTGTGTTTGCGTGTATTGTGTTTATGAAAGCTGGCTCATTCAACCCTGGCGCCTTCCACTAATGAGCTACAGGAACAAACAAAACGCAATCACATAACAAAGCTACAACTTTTTGTGTACATACGATGCACTCTTGCGTAATAAAGAAACAGGATGAGCAAGTGGTGGTACTAGGCAAGTGTTTTCCCCGTTCCCACTTGGAATAGCAGGATGATGGCAGGAGGGATGGCAGGAAGAGTGGCTGGGGTAAGGCAGGGGGTGGCAGCGGAAAGGCAGGGGAATGGCAAGGGGAATGGCTGGGTAATGGCAGGGGATTGACAGGGGGATCTGAGGGGAATGGTAGGGGGAATGGTAAGGGGAATGGCTGGGTAATGGCAGGGAGAATGGCAGTGAGAGCGGCTGGGGAAGGGCAGGGGGGAATGACAAGGGGATGGCCCCGTCGGCCCCGTCACAGCCCCTGTCGCGCCCGTTGCAGCGCTCGTCGCGGCACTTGTCCCGGCCCTGGTCGTCGCCCCCCATTGCAACCTTCAGTGTCCCCCCTGGTGCGGCTACCCGTCGTGCCCTTGCTACGGCCAGCGAAGCGCGACCATCCCTGGATTTTGCGCCACTCACAAAAGTCACATGCGTGAACTGTGGCCCCTAATTGCAGCCGGGTAACTGATATGTAATACTTCTGTGTGTTGTAAACATATACGGTATGAAATGACACATGAAATTTGCGTGCTAGGTCTGATGTTCTACGCATGCTCAAAGAAATTTCCGGATAGCCTTTAAATTCACGCGGTTCTCTTGAACACATGTGATTTCAACTCAAAGTAAAGCACACCCACGCACATCCGCTGATACTTTGCCTACGTTCCTGGTGAGCTTGGATGTTTCTGTTTTTCCAAGGGTTCAATTTCCTAGTGCTTAGCTAATACAAAGCACTGTACTAGTATTGCAAGAGAATGTACCAGCTCTAACTTAGCAATCTCATGTTTCGCCTGCCAACAAGCTGCACCTGGATGGTGGGATAGCTCCACTTGTAAGACAGAACCCCACAGTGCAGTACACTATATGCTTCTTCGGCCAGGCAGGGTTTAGGACACCCTGTTGTTACCTGTAGCTCTACACGTTGACCCAGTGCAGTGCAGCTCAGTATATTACCCTCTGGTCAGTTGGGGTGAGGGGAGGCGAGAGGGGAAGCGTTCCTCGCTGCGGCGTTGGTTCTCAAATGTGGAGAGGGGGTGGGGTGGGTGGTTTGGCTGCTGCTAGTAAGCTCTCTACTTTTGAGGCGCCTCAGAAGTTTTCAGATGTGGAAAGGCAGTGGTGGTTTGGCTGAGTGAGCTGTACTTTGGTAGCCCCCAACTCCTTGCCATTGTTTGCTGCCACACCCTGCGGATTGATCAGGGGCGTGGGGTGGGGGTGTGGGGTGAATGAGGGGAGAGGAGCTCTTGGTGAGCAGCAGTTGCTGCTAGTGAGCTGACCCCCGAATCCTTGCTATTGTTTGCTGTCACTCCCTGCAGATTAACCAGGAGGGGGATGGGATGGGGGTGGGGGTGGGGATGGGGGTGGGGGGAGGGAAGGAGGGGAGAGGGGAGATCTTTGTAAGCAGGAGAGGGGGGTGGGGGTGGCTGCAGACGCTCATGTCAGCGCGCAGAGGTGGTTGGACAAACAGACTTCCGCCATGTTCTGCACAGCTCACCTTAACCTTCGGATCCAGTGTGATGTGAGCAGCCCCTATCTGCACAGCACACCCACGTCATCCCACAACCCATGCTGTCACATCAACACGCACACTCCAGTCCTTCACCCATGGTTCAGAAGCTCTATCTGCACGCCTAGTGACTGCTGCAATGCGTCCAGCTGCCGCTCCGACTGCCGCGTGGGCAACCCACTCGCTCTCCCCCCCACCCATGCCCAGCCCATGCCATCCCGCTTGCCGACCCATGCTGCCACCTCCAGCTCACCTCCAGTCCTCCACCATGTCTTTAGGGTCCAGATTCAGCAGCTCCATCTGCACGCCTAGCGACTGCTGCAACGCGTCCAGCTGCCGCTCCAACTGCAGCAAGGCAACGCACAGACTCACCCACCCACACACCCACGCCCACACTGCTCTCCTCACCCATGGTGCCAACCCCATCGCACCTCCAGTCCTCCACCATGTCTTTCGGGTCCAAATTCAGCAGCTCTATCTGCACTCCCAACGGCTGCTGCAATGCTTCCAGCTGCCGCGTGGGCAACCCTCTCACTCCCCCCCATGCCCAAGCTCATGCCCTCACCCACCTGCCCGCACACCCATCAATGCCGTCACCTCCAGCTCACCTCCAGTCCTCCACCATGTCTTTAGGGTCCAGATTCAGCAGCTCCATCTGCACGCCTAGCGACTGCTGCAACGCGTCAAGCTGCCGCTCCAACTGCAGCAAGGCAACGCACAGACTCACCCACCCACACACCCACGCCCACACTGCTCTCCTCACCCATGGTGCCAACCCCATCGCACCTCCAGTCTTCCACCATGTCTTTCGGGTCCAAATTCAGCAGCTCTATCTGCACTCCCAACGGCTGCTGCAATGCGTCCAGCTGCCGCGTGGGCAACCCTCTCACTCCCCCCCATGCCCAAGCTCATGCCCTCACCCACCTGCCCGCACACCCATCAATGCCGTCACCTCCAGCTCACCTCCAGTCCTCCACCATGTCTTTAGGGTCCAGGTTCAGCAGCTCTATCTGCACTCCCAGCGACTGCTGCAACGCGTCCAGCTGCCTCTCCAACTGCCGTGTGGGCAGGCGGATGGGCATGGCGATGACCCCCTCCATTAGGAACAGCATGGTGCCTCCGAATGGCGCCTGCGTGGGATGGGTGGATGGCGGGAGGGATGGCAGGGGAGATGGCAGGGCACCGCACACAGTGAGAGCCAGGCGGATGGGCATGGCGATGACCCCCTCCATTAGGAACAGCATGGTGCCTCTGAAGGGCGCCTGGATCGGGGATGGCAGGGGGAGAGTCCATAAGGGAAAAGGAAGGGGAGAGACAGGGGTTTCACACAGTCCTCCTCTGTGAACGTCTCCAGGTTCTCAATGTTGATGTTTTTGGACGACAGGTACTCCTCCGTGACGTTGTACACCAGGGCTGGGTCGTACAATTCCTCACGGGACAAACACCCACAGGATCGCCGTAACTCACCTCCTCTGTGAATGTTTCTAGATTCTCGATGTTGATATTCTTGGATGAAAGGTACTCTGTCACGTTGTACACCGGCCCCGGGGTTGTCGGCCCCTCAAGGCACAACCACCACCCACAAGAGCAACACACACTCCTCACCCCTCACCTCCTCTGTGAACGTCTCCAGGTTTTCAATGTTGATGTTTTTGGACGACAGGTACTCATTCACGTTGTACACCAGCCCGGGGTTGTCGGCCCACTCTGCTGCAGCCACGTACCCCTCACTCGGGTCCAGTTTCAGCACTCCCTCACCTCCTCTGTGAATGTCTCTAGATTCTCGATGTTGATGTTCTTAGACGACAGGTACTCAGTCACGTTGTACACCAGCCCCGGGTTGTCGGCCCCTCGTAGCACCAGCCGCCGGAACTTGCGCTTGGGTGCCGTCTCGTCACTGCGCTCGTCCACCGTCCACCGCGTGCTCACCTGCACAGGAGGGTGGGTTTGGGTCGGTTTGAGTGGGTTTGGGTAGGTTTGAGTGGGTATGGGTGGGATTGAGTGGGTGTGGCAGGGTTGATATGGATGTGAGTACGCACATTGTCAACCACCTCTCACATGGTCTGCTCGTCCACCATCCACACCGCGTGCCCACCTGCACACGTGGGATAAAGTTCAATGTGGGTGTTGGGTGTGGGTGTTGGGTGTTGGGTGTGGGTGTTGGGTGTGGGTGTTGGGTGTTGGGTGTGGGTGTTGGGTGTGGGTGTTGGGTGTTGGGTGTGGGTGTGGGTGTGGGTGTGGGTGTGGGTGTGGGTGTGGGTGTGGGTGTGACAGTGACTGTGTGGATTGAGGTTCGGCTGGGCAGAATACTAGCAGGTTTGGTTCGTTACACTATTCACCTGCACCCCTGCCCACCCCTCCCTTTCACCTGCACCCTTCCCCTTCCCTCTCCCCCTCCCTCTCACCTGCAGCCCCTGCACTTCCAGCAGCTTGAGCCGAAGGTCCTCCGCTATCCGGGGCGACCTGAGGGAGTGGAAAGGAGGGCAGGCGGGCGATAGATTTTTGAGGTGCATTAAAAAATCATCACACTTCCAGCAGCTTGAGCGGAAGGTCCTCCGCTATCCGGGAAGCGGAATGAAGCGCAGGCATGGAGGGGATTTTGGCCGACTCGAAATTCCGATTCAAGAGATTGGGAGGGAGGCCAGACAGGCGACGGGGCAGAGTGCGTGCACGAGAGATAGTGGGCACATGGGGTGATGATGCATCCTTATATGGAGTGAGATAACCTTTTTATGATGGAAACGGACTCCTTCACGTTCTCTTTCTCTCTAGAGCGAAACCTGACACGCAAGGCACTCACGTGGCGTCGACGCGGATGAGCATGATGAAAGAAAAGTCCCCCGCCAGCAGCACCAAACTCGGCTCTCGTTCACATTTGCCCACACTCTAGCGTGAAACCAGGAACTCAAGGCTCTCAACGCACCCAAGGCACTCAGTGCACTCACGTGGCGTCGACGCGGATGAGCATGATGATGGAAAAGTCGCCTGCCAGTCGCGCCATGCGGCTCTCTTCCACGTTCCCGCCGCACTCGAGGATCCGCTTCGCCAGCGTCGACACGATGCCCAGCCTGTCCGGGCCTGATGCTGTTACCACCAAGTGCCGATCAGGGGACGCAGCTGGCACCGTTAGGAGTGGTTGAGAGGGAGGGTGGGAAGGGGAGAGAGGAGGAGGGGAAGAATGGATGCTACAGAAACAATTAATGTCATAATGGGGAGGATCGACGAATGGATCATTCCCCGTGTCGTACTCTCCTCGTTGCCTCCAGAGCCACTTTTGAATTTGATTTGATGAAATCCACACCCGTCATCCCTGTTTGTTAAATCTAACAGAAACTCACTCTGCAACTGGAATACCTGATTATGTGGCACTAGGTGACGGGTATATTCATATCACGCCGACACTCACCAGTGTCCTTGGAGCGACTCGCTATGTCTTGCCAGAACGCGTCGCTCCCATTTCTGAACTCGCGACACGCTTCTCTCAGCTGCTTCGAGACTACTACGCCTGCTGCCGACCTGCCACGTGTCGCAATGAGACGCCGCAGCGCTAGCATGGCTGCCCTGTTGCAACTACTGATGAATGTCGAAGCGCCAATGCGCTTAGCGCCAATGAGGAGATGCTACAGGGTTTCTATTAAGTTACGGATTACGTCACGAATTCCACAACGTGGTAGTTCGATCAGCTAGCGGAGTAATTTTAGAGACTGGAAAGGGAAAGAAGCTCGACAAGGATGTGGTTGGCGAAGCGTGTGCGATCGTTACTTCACCGATAGCGTACTAAAATTCCTAGCACAAGGCGACAGTCACGGGAAGATAGTAAATATAGGTAGGTAGGTAGCCTCGCTCTTCATAAAGGTTGATCAGCAATGGTGGGAGGAAAATAGGGATGAGCAATGGCTTCACGCCTGTAAAGGTGGAGTTGAGGAGTGCTTGGTGGGGAGGGATGAGGGGATGCTGGGAATGAAGGGAAAATATGAGCAACGGCTGGTTACCCAGAGTTCGTCTCAAATACCTGCTAGCGCTGATGTGTCCTCGAAGTTCGATGTTTTTTTTTTTCATACGTTTTACTGGTTTGCCAACGATTTCAAGGGTCTGATCGTGTGATGTCCTGATTGTTTGCGAGAAACTTAGGTGAAACCTGCTCCCGTGAACATCACCATCTTCTTGAAGAAATTACAGTTCACTGCCCATTCATCCAAAGTGACGTGTTTGTGCTGGGAGGATTCCAAGGTACTCCAGGATATGCTCGTTGGGTGGGACCACCTGTGAGAATCCGTTCAACGCCATTCGTGGTGCGACTTGTGTCGCGAAATATTGGTGACGAGGACATCACGAAAGCCGCGTCAGTGGAGCCTGACATCGAGGCTTTCTGGCTTCCAGAAGGATTTCCTTGCCATTCTTCAAAGGGCTATCACTCCAGCCTTCCTACTGATGCCGCTTCTGGGCTCACGCGGTCCGGATAACTTATTCCCGCCAAAAAGAACCCAAAAAGAACCGCGTTATTGGCACAATACACCAAAATGGCAGTCAAGAAAGTTTGCTGCAATGGATTCAAATATATCACATCCATCTGACGATGTCACAAGCTCAGTTGAGGTCAGAGAGTATTTAGGTTGAGCTTAGCCATCTGATCTGCACTGCAAGTTACCTGGTATATTCTTGAAAGGTAGAGCTGAGTCATGGTGATATGAAAGTCAAACAGCCTTGAAAAACAAGGAAACAAGTCTAAGGTAGAAATTTGGTTAAAGCGACGGTGCACATTTGCCACCCAAAACCCAGAACCCTGGCGAACTGTTACTGCGGATGGAAAGTGTCCGCACGAAATCCTGGTTTTCGCCAGCCAGCACTTTCGCGCTGACAAGCCTGGTTAAAAAAAAAAACTTCTGAACCCAACACTGCCAAAAGTAGCCCGTCGCTTTAACATAGCTGGGATTTCAAGCTGCCATGAACCGGCTCCGCAATTACCCAAAAAAAAAAAATACACAAATAATATTATAAATAATCAAATAAATATATGAGACTACAGCTGTTCTCAGGTACATCAAACAGCATTAGTGAAAGCTCTTTGTGTGTCCTTCAACAAGGGTGCTGCTGCCTCAGCATCTAGTGAAGCGCTGCGCCTGTATCCAAGCCTGCGCCTGCTATTCATGCGCAGCAGCAGCTGCGAGAGCAGCTTCGGGTCGACAGGCTTCTGCATAATGCCATCAAAGCCACTAGCAAGGCATCGCCGCGTGACCTCATCATCCACATCTGCTGTCAGCGCCACTATGAGGAGCTGCGCCTGAGGCACAGTGGGCACTGGGGGAACAGTGACACATGCTGGACTTTTGTTGCCCAGTTCTGAGTTCCCTGTTACCGATGCTTCGCTGGTCGCGTTTGCTGCTGATGTGGATTGAAGCGCTATGGTGGTCTCATACGCTCGTATGGCCTCTGTTGCAGCAAAGCTGGGGTGCAAGGAACGGGAGCATGGGCGGATGGAGGTGGGAGAAACGGGCATGAGGAAAGGAATGCTACTGAGCAGCATATGCAAAGAAGAAGAAGAAGAAGAAGAAGAAGAAGAAGAAGAAGAAGAAGAAGAAGAAGAAGAAGAAGAAGAAGAAGAAGAAGAAGAAGAAGAAGAAGAAGAAGAAGAAGAAAAAAACAAGGATGGAACAGTGATAGTATTAACCAATAAAACTAGTCTTCGTGGATTAATATCGCTGTTACAGTTATTATGTTCAGAGACTCATATTTGTTATTTTCATCATGGACCTCACACGACTCACCCGTCCATGATCGGCATCTGAAGGTCCATGAGGACCACATCCACATCCATATGCCCCTCCTGTGATGTCCACCTTTCTTTCTCCCACATTCATAATCCCAAACGGCCCACTGCCCACCACCACTCACCCATCCATGAGGGGCATCTGCAGGTCCATGAGAATCACATCCACATGCCCGTCCACCGCCTCTGCAACGCCACTCAAGCCAGGCTCCACGTGGTGTGCGCTCCCCCCCAGACCGAGGGCGTGCCTGACTAGCCACAGCGCCTCCTCCCCGCTGCCTGCGGTGGCGACGGTGGCGCCGCTGCGAGTGAGAGTGCGGCGCGCCACCACCAGATTCACCGCCGCATCGTCCACCACCAGCACACCCACCCCCGCTAGCACCCCCGCACCCTGCGGCACCGCACTCGACCCCTTTCCCGGCAGCGACCTATGCCTTCGCTGCACTTCCCCGCCTGACAGGGAGGCAGCAGCTGGTGCGGCTGCTGCCTTTTCTGCTCCTGCTGCTGCTGCTGCTGCTGTTTCAGGCCTTCCAGTGTCTTCTACAGTCCCATCTCCTCTTCTACTGCTGACGCTGTTGCCTCCGCTGCTGGAATCATCACTCTGTAGCGCACCCAAGCTCGTTCCCAACACCTCTGCACCCTTCTCCTTTGCCTCACACTCCCCAAAACTACCCAACTCCTTTTCTAAACGCACCCCAGAAAGAAACTCTGTATGTCCGGCTTGCTCCGTGTCATCCGGCCCCGCCTCTCCCCCAGTGAGGTGGGTGCGACCGAATGCTGCTAGCTGGGAGGAGGAGCGGTGTGTGTGGGAAAGGGGTTTAGGGTTTAAGGTTTAGGGTTTAGGGTTCGAAAAAGCAAGAGAGCAGTTTGAGCTCACCTGATGGCAATAGAGGCTCACCTGATGGCAACAGAGGCTCACCTGATGGCAACAGAGGCTCACCTGATGGCAACAGAGGCTCACCTGAACGGCATGGTGCAGATGGTGAGAGAGCAACGGGCGGCGACAGATGACCACCCGGGGAGGGATTGTAGCAGAGGCACAAGGAGCAGAAGCAGAAGGAGAAGCAGAAACATCGGAGGCCACAGATGCAGCAGCAGCATCAGATGTGGCAGAGGCTGCAGAGGCGGTTGATGAGGCAGTGTGAGTGGATGAGGCAAGAGCAGTTGCGAGGGGGCAAAAAGGTGCTCTTCGCATTTCAGTCAAACCCCCTGCATCTCCAACTCCTGTGTCTTGGACCTCCATCCTCTCTCCTTCGCTCCTCTCCTCCACTTCCTCTTCCTCACCTTCGATTTTGTCCCCCCGCTCCTCTTCCTCTTCCTCACTCTTTTCCTCCCACTTCTCCTCCTCCTCTTCCTCGTCTATCCTTTCCCCCCCATCCCCCATCGCCTCTTCCCCAGAGCAGTCTGTGAGAACCACCACACCCACCACCAGAGCACCACACTCCATCCCTTCCACCCCTCTCAACCCCCGCACACCTGCCTGCCACACTGCTGCCTCCCAACTGCCTGCCCCTGCCGGCGTCAGCGCCACCACAGGCCCTCTCTTGCTCCACGCCTGCACACCTGCCTGCCGTGCTGCTGCCTCCCTGCTGCCTGTCCCTGCTGCAACCTTACAAGTAACCTCCCCTCCTCCCTCACTATGCAGCCTCCATAAATCTTCCCCCTCCATCACCACCACCCAAGGCCGGCTCTCCCTCACCTCCTCTTCCTCCCTTCCCTTTCTCCCTTCCCCCCTTTCTTCCTCTCTCTTCCTCTTCCCACCAAACCAACTCATCACCCATCCTCCAAACTCCCCGTCACTTCTTTCCACCATCTCCCTCACATGACTCGTGGAGAGGGACTGGCAGGGAGATGATAATAATTTCCTCTCACCAACCTCTCCTCCAGACTCCCTGCTACTGCTCCCCACCGTTTCCCCCACATGAATTGTGTTGAGAGAATGCTGAGACAGTAGGAACCCCCCTCCACTAACTTCCCGTGCAGAATGCCCACTCCTGCTTCCCGCTGCCTCTCGCATATGAGTCATAGGATTCCTTTGTGACGCCTCTGGTGCTGGATGTGGCAGTAAGTGCACGTGTGCGCCAAGTCCAGATGGAGTTGGAGATGTCAGTCGCGTTTGAGAACTCTCAACAGCTTCTGCTGCTGCTGGGTGTGGCAGTAAATGCACCTGTGCGCCGAGTCCAGATAGGATTCGCGCTGTGAGCTGATGAGGAAGGGGTTGGAGAGGGTGGAAGGAGAGGGAAAGGAGTAGGGGGGTTTGATTGGAAGAGGAAAATGTGAAATCAGGTTTGTGAGGAGGGAAAAGGTGCGCGGGGAGGGGAAAGGAGTGTGAGGAAGGGAAAGGTGTGAGGAGAAAACAGGTGTATAGGGCAGCACATGTTACACCTTACGACAGCAGGATTGCAGCATGTGATGTGATTATAGGCGAGGAAGACATATAGAAACACTCGCTTGCAGTCACCGCCAACTGTAATCACATTTTACATCCCCCTACCCTTCTCTTTCAGGCCGTCACATCCCCACAATGCATCAAGCACCACCTCCACTCACTCACTCACACATCCTTCCACCCTTTTCCCTCAGAGTCACAACCCCACAGGGGCATACGACCACACACACTCCACTGTCACATCCCTCCACCGAGGGGAGTCAACACACAGACACACAGACACACACACACATACACACACACACACACTCGCCTCCATTCACCTCCCTCCTGTACGTGTCACTACCACCAAGCCAACAATCACTCCATCCGCTCCACAAACACCCCATCAGAAGCTCCTACTCAAGATCGCGCTTGATGAAACAACATTCTTTTGTCGCCTCAAACATCATCGCCTCAAACATCATCGCCTCAAGTCACCACTTGCTTGTTCCGCACCACGCCATACAGCCACTACGTTCGAGCCCATCATTCACCCCATTCCAGCCTCCCACTCCAATTCGCACGTTATAGTTCAGTTAACTCAAACTTCAACTTGAACTCACCTCCATCTTGCACGGTTCACGCCTCATATTGTCAACATCCCCTCTACTCACCTCTTGCCTGTACGCATCACTCCCCATCACACCAACAGCCACTCCCTCCAAGCCCAACACACACCCCATCCCCTCCTCCCTCTCAAGTAAGCACGCAGTGAACCATCATTTGTGTCACCCCAAACATGACCCAGTCTCACCTCTTGCCTGTACGCATCACTGCCCATCACACCAAAAGTCACTCCTTCCAAGCCCAACACACACCCCATCCCCTCCTCCCCCTCCCCCTTCTGCCCCTCGTGCAGCCCCCCTCCCTCTGCCGTTAAATGTCCCACTCCCCCGTTTCTTCTGCTGCTGCTGTTGCGATTCAGTCTGTTCCTATGTCTCAGGATTGCGCCACATCCCCACATATCCTCCGGCCAAATCTTATCCTCCTCCCCGTCCTCCCCATCCTCCCCTCCATTCTCCCCATCCTCCCCTCCATTCTCCCCATCCTCCCCTCCATTCTCACCCTCTTCCTTCAAACCCAAAGGTTGCTCAGGAACACTGGGAGTGCCGCGGGTGATAGTAGCGGGAGGGTGAGTAACGGCCGTGGCAGGAGCAAGGGGCGATGGGGGCGAGGAGAAGGGGAGGGAGAAGGCGAAGGTTGAGCCGATGCCGGGATGAGATAGGCAGGCCACATGGCCGCCCATGAGGGTCACCTGGTGGGAAAAAAAACAGGAGGGGAAGGGGGGGGGAGAAGGGCAGTGGGCACACGATTGCACGGGTTTTGAGTCAACTCAAAACTCGTCTTGTTTCAGAGAGCAGATTCGGTCGACACTTGGTGCGAGAGCTGAGCGAGAAGCGGTGTGGAGTAGAATGGAAATGAAGGATAGAGTGAGAGAGAATTAGGGTGGATATGAAGGAGGGCGCAGGGGAGCAGCAAATCAATCTCACGAGGTCTCACCAGTTGGTGCATGAGAGCCAGACTCAGCCCCGACTTTTGAGACGTCTCAGAAGGCAGTGAAAGATTTGCAGACGATTCGTAAGGGGAGGTCTCACCAGTTGGTGCATGAGAGCCAGACCCAGCCCTGCTCCTCCACTCTCTGTCCGTCCCTGCATGGACCGAACATAGCCAGACAGACAGGCACCAAGAAGCAACGAAATGATTAGTGAGGCAGCAGCAGGAGAAATGCCAGGACACAGTCAGGCCAGTTGACACACCGTGTGCCTTGACTTGACTTGACTTGACTTGACTTGACTTGACTTGGTCATCCACACACGAGTGCTCTTGTGCAATACTTCTTCCCGTACCACTTCAGATGCCATCAGCAGATACACTAAGTACGCTCGATTGCAAAGCTGCTTGTATTGTCCCACAACAACAACACCATTCTCATTGGCCTCATTGGTGAGTATTTCTTTCTGAAGCTTGCAATTTAGTCACCTTAAGTACGTAGCACAAATGTAAATTAATTACATAAATATATTCGCAAATGTACTTTTGGCTCGAAGCATATGCACCTTATGTGTAGCCTCACAAACGCTTGCCCTCACCTTGAACTCGAAAAGGTTTCTTTGAAAGGATGCATCGAAGCCACAGCCGGTATCCTCACACACCACCACCAGCTGCATGCGCTCCCCCCCACCCCCTGTGAGTGAATCAACAGCATTCCCACACTTCATCCGCACACCCTCCTCCTCCCCATCCCCACTCCATCCACTATTATCCCGAGACCCCTCACTTCCCCCCTCCCCTCCAAGACCCTCCCTCACTTGCTCCCCCTCCCTTGGCGTTTCCCCTGCTGTTTTTTCCGCTGCTCCTACTATTGCTCTCCCTTCCGTTGCTACACTCTGTCTTGCAACGTCTGCTTTAGTCCAGGGCTTTAAGCGAGTTTGAGTGAAGCGTGGTGTGAGGATGGTGGCGAAGTGAGTAGCCCGGGCGAAGAAAGAGGGGCTAGGAGGAGGGCATGGCTGGATTGGAACATCAGATACAACTGAAGGAGAGCAGAGGGAGACAAAGGGTGGAAAGGGAGGGAACAAGAAGGGTGGAGAGGAAACGACGTGGAGCAGTGAGCCTGGAACGACTGTTGAGGCGCCTTAAGAGCGTGGAACGAACAACATGAGGCAGGGACGATGGTGGAAGATGGAAGCAGCAAACGTGGAAGGAGCAACAACACATTATGAATCAAAGGAGCATAAATCGCAGTCTAAAGGGTCTGCTTTTGAGTCGACACAAAAGCGCACTATGCATCAAAGGAGCATGAATCGCAGTCTAAAGGGTGCTGCGACGAACTCCTCGGTCAAACTCAGCAGGGAGGGAGCACTGCGCAGACCCAGCAGGAAGAGAGCACTGGGGCGGGGCGGACTCAACAGGGAGGGAAGAATGGGCTGACCCAAAAGGGCAGGAGAGAGCACTGACTGATATGGCGGAGGGCGTCCTCTAGAGGGGTGGAGGCGGGGCACACAGCCACTCGCAGCAGCAGATGGCCCTCCGTGGTGTGGTGAAGCGTGTTGTCTGGAGCAATAGGCACGGCGGGTAGGGGTGTGTGGATTATCAAGTGCACATATGAGGGCAATGAAAATGGGTTTGCAACCCAATCCGTGAACGCGAAATGTGCTTTTGTTTCTGAGGCGTGAATTAGATATATTCCATGCTTGAAACGTCCTCCAAAAGGATATCATGGCACTCTGTTCGTTTAGGAGTGAAAGGGAAACAGCTAGCTCACCTGTGAACTCTAAGAGTACTTGTGGCTAACGGGTACCAGCAGAACGAGAAGGTGGACTACAAGGAGATGTTTGCTATGACGAGAGTTGTGAGTCTCACTCACCACATGTAATGAAGCCTACGACGCTGCAAATTTCTTCTTGCGGGAGCTTCCAACAAATTGCGACAAACGAGAGTTGTGAGTCTCACCTAGGAGCTCTTGCAGCGCTTGCGTGAGTCTCATGGCGTCTATCTCCAACTCCAAAGGCACGTTCATATCCACCACTCCCACCACTGCCATGGCGAGACGGGATTCGGAGAAGAACAATGAAAATTGGACAAACAACACGGAGAGATGAAGGGAAAGCCTTGGATATTATAACATGCCCCAAATCCTACTCACTGTCCTTTCACACATTCATAACTTTGTGCACTGTCCAATCCTCATCTCATCGCCCTCTCTTCAACCACAAACTCACACTCAATCCCCTTCTGGCGAGCCCTCCAGTAGTTCTCCGCAACAACGCTCTCCAGCCAAGCCCTTAGCTCAACCGGCCCACAGCAGGGCGCCATCTTGCGCGCCTCAAGCTTGGACAGATCAAGCACGCGGTTCACCAGCCGCACCGTGTCTTCCGCCGATTTCCTCGCCTCCCACACATCCGCTATTTGAGCCCCGCTCAGCCCCATGTCTGCCAGAGCGTCTAACAACCCCATGATGCCGATCATGGGCGTGCGCAGCTCGTGAGACATGGACGCCACGAACACACTCTTGGACCGCTCTGCTGCTAATGCGCTCTCCCGGACGATGTCTGCCTTTGCCAGTCCGTCTTGGCTTCGAAGGTACCCCACACGCTGCTGCCATGCTACTGCTGCCACCAAGGCTGTCAGTACCAGAGCGAGTAATGCCCAGAGGAAGGGCACACCCCATGATTGCCATGCGTTGGTCGGTTGGGTGTAGCTGGCGAAAAGGAAACAAATATGGAAAGAGAAAATAAAAATCGAGGTGAATTTGTATGTGGAGACACGAATATTTGAGAAAAGAAACGAGTGTATGAAAGATTAGTAGCGCCACTCACCGGGCCCAACCCCACCAGCACACAACCCCACTCACCAGCACACAACCCCACTCACCAGCACCAGACCTGGTAGTACTTGCCTTAGTGGGAATATACGCGTATAGCGTATATACGCGTATCGTATATACGCTAACGTATATACGCTAAACGCTGAAGGGTCGGCTTTGGGAATCCGCTTTTTCGGGCAGGAAAAAAATTCCCGGGCAGGGTGAAAAACAATGTCGTGCTCAACATCGGGAAGGTATTCCATATTCTCACTAAGAATTTCGTAGCATTCTCCTAAGTCTGAACTTCGATTAAGGTGGGATGTGTAGTAGAGACTATCGCTAGAAGGAAAGTTAGGAATCGGGATGAGCTCTGTTGGGAAGCGGGAAATGTCGAGTGCAGTTGGGCTGGCTGGTTAGTAGCGTGAGTGGGGTTTGTTGGGGGGACGTTTTTGACAGGTTGGAGTTCGTAGATGGGATGGATTTCAATGCGGTACTAATCAAAACTGTAGATCTGATCTGAACTACCAGAAGCGAAGGCACATTCCCGCTTCCCTACAACCCCGAATTGCACCTCGACTTCGGCAAAATGCTCACCAGGAGATTCCGCATCTTTCCGTATACACACGATTTCTTTTCCCGGGCAGCCCTTAAAAAAATCTGAAAGCGTATAGCATATTAGCTAGCGTATAGCGTTTTGCGTATGAACGCAAGCGTATATACGCTATACGCTTTAGGTTCTGAGCGTATATTCCCACTAAGGTACTTGCGCAGGCGGCACAGCACTTAAACACGCCCATTTAACACAATCGGTAGCAAACTGGACCAACTACTGACATCAGAGCAAAAGGTCTCGAGTTCAAGTTCCAGCGTGCGCCAGTGAGCGCCAGCGCCCTAACGAGCCCCAAGTGAGTGGAAGACAACCTCAGTGAAGGGTAGATTGTTGTGTTAAAATATATATTGTGTAGCATGCCAACACTTGTGACTGTACACCAATTGTGGTGTACAGTTGGGTTGGGACTACACCCAACTTTGGGTGTAGTCTTGCACTTTGGGGTGCCAATCCACCCAATTGTGGTGGAGCCTCCAAATGCAACCCTCTTGACTTGTGGGTACCTCACTTCCCACAATTGAGGTTACCCCAAGCCAAGTGGGCCTAGGGTTGCCTCACTTCTACAAAGTGTGGGCAACCCAACCCACTTGACCTATGGTTCCCTCACTTCCCCAAGTGAGGTCAACCCAACCTATGGTCACTTTCATCCTTCCCTTCCAACCTTCCCTTCCAACTATGTATGCTAGGTTGTTCCTCTAATCTAATGACTTGTTCAATTTGCTACTTTCACATGGTATAGAGCTACTTGTTCCTAGGCCTTACCTCTCCCTCCCTTCAGTTTTTTTTTTCCCATGGGCCCACCCCACAGCTACAAACCCTTTCCTACGCGTGGCTCAACTAGCCATCACTAGCATACTCTCGCCGCGACCTACGCCGTCGCCGCCGTTCCCCCCCCCTCCCGCCGCGATTACGCCTTCCTCGCCTGCGGATTCCACCGCCGCGAGCGCAACGCCGCTGTCCCCTCCTCCCCCCCGCCGCGACCCCCTGTCGCCGCCTCCCCTTCTCGCCGCCGCGCCTGATTCGGCGCCGCCTGCGCATCCTGCCGCCGCGACGCCTCGTCGCCGCCTGCCCGCTGCCCGTCCCTCCGCCGCGACGTCACGTCGCCGCGTTCCCGCCGCCGCGCCTGCTACGGCGCCGCCTGCGCATCCTGCCGCCGCGACGCCTCGTCGCCGCCTGCCCGTCCCTCCGCCGCGACGTCTCGTCGCCGCGTTCCCGCCGCCGCGCCTGCTTCGGCGCCGCCTGCGCATCCTGCCGCCGCGACGCCTCGTCGCCGCTTGCCCGTCCCTCCGCCGCGACGTCTCGTCGCCGCTTTCCCGCCGCCGCGCCTGCTACGGCGCCGCCTGCGCGTCCTGCCGCCGCGACGCCTCGTCGCCGCCTGCCCGTCCCTCCGCCGCGACGTCTCGTCGCCGCGTTCCCGCCGCCGCGCCTGCTTCGGCGCCGCCTGCGCATCCTGCCGCCGCGACGCCTCGTCGCCGCTTGCCCGTCCCTCCGCCGCGACGTCTCGTCGCCGCTTTCCCCGCCGCCGCGCCTGCTACGGCGCCGCCTGCGCGTCCTGCCGCCGCGACACCTCGTCGCCGCCTGCCCGTCCCTCCGCCGCGACGTCTCGTCGCCGCGTTCCTGCCGTCGCGCCTGCTTCGGCGCCGCCTGCGCATCCCGCCGCCGCGACGCCTCGTCGCCGCCTGCCCGTCCCTCCGCCGCGACGTCACGTCGCCGCCTCCCCTTCCCGCCGCCGCGCCTGCTTCGGCGCCGTCTGCCCGTCCCGCCGCCGCGACAGCTCGTCGCCCCCTGCCCGTCCCGCCGCCGCGACCTAACATCGCCGCCTGCGCATTCCGCCGCCGCGACTGCTCGTCGTCACCTCCCCGCCCCCGCCCCCCCCCCCCCCCCCCCCCCCCCCCCCCCGCCGCGATTTCGCATTGCCGCCTCCCCTCCCACCGCCGCACCTGCTTCCGCGTCACCCACGCATCTCGCTGCCCCTTCTGCATCGCCACCCTCCCGCAATTTCCCCCGCCGCAACTGCAACATCGTCGCCCCGCGGTTCCCGTTAACGCCACTGCGCCGCCGCCGCCCTACCGCCGCGACTGCTTCGGCGCCGCCTGCCCATCCTCCACCGCGACCGCGCCATGCCCGCCCACACTTCCTGCCGCCGTGACTGCCCCGTCGCCGCCTGCAGATTCAGCCGCAACTGCACCCTCCCTTCCTCCTCTCCCTACTCCTCTCCCCCCCCCTCCCCCTCCCCCTGCGCCCCTCGTTGTCGCGGCCTGCCTGCCGCCGCCGTCCCTCGTTTCGCCGCCGCGGCCCTTCCGCCGTCGTCTGCGCCCCTCGTCGTCGCGGCCTGCTCGCCGCCGCCGCCCCCGACTTTGCCACCGCCTCCCCTTCCCGCCGCCGCACGTTCGCACAGCCGCCTGCGCCCTTGTCACCGTCGCTCCCTGCACCTTGAACGCCTCTGCCCTCCACCGCTGTCTCCCTCCTTTACCCCCCCCCCCCCCCCCCCCCCTCCCTCCTCCTGCCAGCGGCAGCAGCAGCGGTAGCAGGGGAAGTGCAGCAGCCTCCGCAGCAGCAACTTCACCCTTGGCCGCCGCGGGTCCACCCGCCGTCGCCCATCATGACTGCTACCCCCCCTGCCCCTCTCCCCCCTCCTCACTGGAGCAGTGTTACTCCTCGCCCCTCCCTTCTCAACACTCCGACCCTCCACTCCTCCCCCCCCCCTTATCTCCGCCTGCTCACCCCCTCCCCCCCTCCCCATCTGCGGCGTTTCCAGCAGCTCCAGCATCAGCAGCAGCAGGACTTCCAGCAGCGGCAGCAACCACAATTTCTCCAGCCGCACCCCCCACATCTCCTCCAGCCGCGGCAATCGCAGCAGCAGCAGTTCTTCCAACACCAACAGCAGCCGCAATCTCTCCAGCCTCACCCGCCACAGTTTCTCCATCCCCAGCAGCAGCAGTCCTTCCAGCCGCAGCAGCGGCAGTCCTTCCAGCAGCAGCAGCAGCTGCCACAGTTCCTTCCACCGCAGCAGCAGCAGTCCTTCCTGCAGCAGCAGCAGCCACAGTCTCTCCCACCGCGGCAGCCGCAGCAGCAACAGTACTTACAGCAGCAGCACCCGTCGCTCTCTCCCTCTTCTATCCATGAAACAACTCTCCAGTACTCTGTGTTCCCTCCCTCTCCTTCCCCCCCCACCCTGGACTTTGTCCTTGACAGTGGGGCCACCGAAACCGCACTAAAAGACGCTGGCACCCTCACCCCCCTTCCACTTCCCACCCAGGTTCATGGTGCCGACTCCAGCTTTTCCATCCCCTGCACTCACCTCTCCACCCTTCCTTGCACCGCCTTCCCATCCGGTACAGTCACCGGTCTCCACATCCCTACCCTTCGCAATAACCTCCTCTCCCACCGTGAACTCCAAGGCGTTGGCATTACCGCCATATACCCTGGCTTTGCTTCCTACTGCGATCTCTACCACACCGCCTCTGGTCGTTTCCTCCTGCGCATTCCCCTTTGCCCTCGCACTCGCCTTTACACGCTCCGCACACCCCGTCCCTCCTTTTGTCACGTCACCACTCGTGCTGGTACTTCCACCGGTCCCCTTCTCCCTCCCCCTCCCCCTCCTCTTCCCCCTCACCCTCCCCCTCCCCTTCTCCCTCTCCCTCCGATATCCTCCTCCTCTACTCCATCCGCCTCCTCCTCCCCCCCCAACTTTTCCCCCACCCCATCCCCCTCCTCCTCTACTGCCCTCTCCCATCCTGCGGTGCTCCTACATCACAGACTCGGCCATCCCAACTTCGCCGCACTTCGCTCCACCGTCACCTCTCGCCTCCTTAACAGCCTTCCTCCCACCTTACCTCCCCTCCCCTCCTCCCCTGCTCCCCCATGCCCATCATGCATTCATGGCAAGCTCAAACAGTCCCCCCATCACAGTCACCCCACCTTCGCTCCCGCCCCCATTGACCTTGTTCACATGGATCTCTGGGGCCCTTATCCCATCCGCTCTCGTCAGAGGCACAGGTACATGCTCGTGCTCGTCGACGACCACAGTCGGTACTCCACCGTCTTCTTTCTTCACACGAAAGACCAGGTGCCGGCTGTGGTCATCAACTGGGCTGAGCAGTGCCGCAACCACTTCAAACGTCCCATAGGCCGCCTTCACTCTGACGGTGGGGGTGAGTTCATCAATCATACTCTCTCCACTTACTGCAAAACATACGGCATTCAGCAGACCTCCACCCTTCCCCACTCCCCTCAGCAAAACGGCATCGCTGAGAGTCGCATCCGTGAGATCACCAAGATTGCGCGCTGCCTCATTGCTCACGCCTCCACCCCTCCCTCCCTCTGGAGCTATGCTCTCATTCATGCCGCCCTCCTCCTCAATCTCCGCTCCCACCCTCAGCATCCCTCCTCCTCCCCCACAGAACTCTGGTCCAAGGCCAAGCCTGACGCCGCAGGCCTTCGTGTTTGGGGCTGCAAGGCGTTCGTCCTCATTCCACCGGCCGACCGCTCCCGCGCTGCTGGCAAGCTCGCTCCTCGCGCTCTGGAGTGTGTCTACCTTGGGCACAATCGTGATTCCCCTGGCTACCTATTCCTCCACCCTCCCACCAATCGCCTCATCCGCAGCATTGACGTCGTCTTCGACGAGTCCACTCCCTACTACTCCACCCCTCCTCCTGACCCCCTCCCTCCTCCCACTCGCCCCCTCGCTTGGACCGACACCGTCCTCCCGCCTCTTCTCCCTCCAGCGCCTCTCCTCCCACCTCTCGCCGCTCCACTCCCGCCTTCCTCCTCTGCCGACGTCTACAACCCTGCCGCACCCGCCTCCCCCGCTCACTCCACTGCACCCCCTCCCCCCTCTCCCTCCTCCTCTCATTCTCCTCCTTTCCAGCAGCCGGATCAGCAACAGCAGGGGCAGCAGCAGCAGCAGCAGCAGCAGCCGGATCAGCACCAGCAGGGGCAGCAGCAGCACCAGCAGCAGCCGCGGCAGCAGCAGCAGCAGCCGGAGCAACACCAGCAACGGCAGCAGGGGCAACAGCAGCAGCAGCAACGGCAGCCGGGGCAGCAGCAGCAGCAGCAGCCGGAGCAGCAGCAGCAGCAGCAGCAGCAGCCGGGGCAGCCGCAACAGCAGCAACCGGGACAGCAGCAGCAGCAGCAGCAGACACAGCAGCAGCACGGTCCGCAGCAGCCGCAACAACAAGGGCAGCAGCTTCAGCAGCACCAGCAGCAGCAGCGGCGCCGTGCCACTTCCCGCTCCTCCCCCTTCCTCCTCCCTTACATCCATACCCGCTCGGTGGACAAAATCCTTGGGGCTCCTCCTCCTGCCTCCATTCAGCTCCTTGAGGACTCCCATGAGGAGTTCCTCAACATTCGGGAGCACACTCCGTTCCTTGCCTCCCTCTACCTTGACTTCCTGGGCTTTCCTGTCCTTGGCGCCACCACCACCCCCACCATCTTCACTCCCTCCACCTTCCAGGAAGCCATCACCTGCCCTGACGTGGATAAATGGATAGCAGCGATCTTCCTGGAGTGTGAGGCATTCATTCGCAACGACTCCTTTGTCGATGTCCCCCTCCCAGCCGGCGCCAACCTCGTGGACGGGAAATGGGTCTTTCGGGTGAAGCAGCTGCCGGGCGAGGAACCAGTGTACAAGGCCCGCTACTGCGCCAAGGGGTTCACGCAGACTTGGGCTGAGGACTACTGGTTCACCTACGCCCCCACCGCCAAACCACCCACCCTTCGCGCCGCCATGGACATTGGTGCACGTGACGACATGGAAATCGACTCCATGGACGTCTCCAATGCGTTCCTGCAGGGCGACCTGCATGAGCGCATTTTCCTCCGGCAACCCCCCGGGTTCCACGCAGCCTTTCCTGAGAACACTGTCTGGCAGCTGCGTCGCCCCGTCTACGGCTTGAAGCAGGCACCGCGTGAGTGGCATGCGAAGCTGGCTGCCACCTTGGGGTCCCTCGGCTTCTCTGCTTCCCACTCCGACGCCAGCCTCTTCATCCGCTCCTCCCCCCGCCGCTTCTTCATTCTGGTATATGTCGACGACATGATCCTGCTCTCTGACACCAAGGCCGACATGGAGCAGGTGAAGCTGTCCCTGCAGCAGCGGCTCAAGTGCAAGGACCTTGGCGCCCTCACTCACTACCTCGGCATGACCATCACGCGCAACCGCCCTGCTCGCACAATCACCCTCTCCCAGTCCCATTACATCGGCCAGGTCTTGGAGAAGTTCGACATGGCGCAAGCCAAGCCTGTTTCCACCTCGCTCCCCTTCGGTCACCAACTCGCTCCACCCACCTCCCCCACCTCCTCCCCCCACCCCTATGCCGAGCTCGTTGGGTCCTTGATGTACGCAATGATGTGCACCCGCCCCGACCTCGCCTACCCCATCAGCGTGCTCGCTCGCTTTGTCGGCACCGGTCGTCACTCTGAGGAGCACTGGAAAGCTGCCAAGCGGGTCCTCCGCTACCTTCGCGGGACCAGGGACCTTGCCCTCACCCTCGGCGGCCCTTCCCGTCCCCTTCTCTCGGGCTTCAGTGACTCCTCATGGGCTGACACGCAGCCGGACCGCCGCTCCTCCCAGGGCTACGGCTTCACCCTTGGCAGCGGCCTCATCAGCTGGCGCTCCACCCGCTCCTCCGCCATCTCTCTCTCCACCTGCGAAGCCGAGCTCTACGCTGGCACCATGGCCGCCCAGGAGTCGCGCTGGCTCTGCTTCCTTCTTGCGGAGCTTGGCGCCCCCCAGACGTGCCCCACTCTCTGGTGCGACAACGCCAGCACCATCCATCTCACTCAGGACCCCGTCTATCACGCCCGCTCCAAGCACATCGAACTCCGCTACTTCTTCGTTCGCGAGCTCGTCCAGAAGGGCCTCATTGCCGTTCGCAAGATTGCAACCGAGGCCAACTTGGCCGACATCTTCACTAAGGCCCTCCTTCGCCCCGCGCACTCTGCCTTCCTCCGCCTCATTGGCCTTGCTCGCCCGGGCGCCCCTTGATTCAGGGGTTGTTCTCTTCTTGTGTTAGCATGCTAAGGGGTTGTGTTAAAATATATATTGTGTAGCATGCCAACACGTGTGACTATACACCAATTGTGGTGTACAGTTGGGTTGGGACTACACCCAACTTTGGGTGTAGTCTTGCACTTTGGGGTGCCAATCCACCCAATTGTGGTGGAGCCCCCAAATGCAACCCTCTTGACTTGTGGGTACCTCACTTCCCACAATTGAGGTTACCCCAAGCCAAGTGGGCCTAGGGTTGCCTCACTTCTACAAAGTGTGGGCAACCCAACCCACTTGACCTATGGTTCCCTCACTTCCCCAAGTGAGGTCAACCCAACCTATGGTCACTTTCATCCTTCCCTTCCAACCTTCCCTTCCAACTATGTATGCTAGGTTGTTCCTCTAATCTAATGACTTGTTCAATTTGCTACTTTCACATGTTGGTGGGGCACTGGGATCTTTCCTCAATTGTGTGACGGAGGGCTACAAGTGCGTCATGGGTGGTTATGGGTGTGCTGCTACCTGCCAAACAAACATGCCCTTTTAACGCAATTGATAGCAGGCTGGGCAAACAATTCTTCCCCGCACTCACCGGCACCAGACCTGGTACTGGCGCTAGCGGCTGCCCAACAGGTCAAGAGGCACGACGGCACGTTGCTCCCAGGGGCGTGTGACGTTAGCGGGCGAGGCGGCAGTGAAGGGTGCGATGTCCCTCTCCTTGTAGAATAGCAGCCTTGGGCCCGGCCCGTAGATCATGGTGGGTGCACTGGGGTCCGTGGTGTCGTATGCTTCAAACGTGATCGAGGGGTCTGCAGAACGGTGATGAGGGGTTGAGAGTGAAAATAAGGGGTTTACAGTGTGGTGATGAGGGGCAATGAAGGTTGATGTCCCATGAGGGGCAATGAATGTTAATGTCCCTTTCGTTGTATAAAATGAATGTTGGGCCCGGCTCGCAGATCATGGTGGGAGCGCTGGGGTCCGTCGTGTCGTACGCCTCAAACGCCGGTTTTACTGCACTAAATTCGCATTGGCTCGGGCTAAGCCGAGCCAACTTAAGTCAAGATCAGAATGGGTAGTACTAAGTGTATACTTAAGTGACACACCCTTAGTACCAAACATAAGCTTAAGTAACACACATCCACTCAATACCAGACAAAAAATGAAAAGCGTCCTTTCACTTGGTATGAAACGTCAGCTTGAGTAACGCACTTTAACTTAGTACCAAACGTCTGTAAGAACTGAGCTTGAACTGATACATTAGTAATGAGCTCAAAGCTTTTTAAGGTATGGATGGGGAGGGAATTAGGGGCAATCTCCAGGGGATTGAGGGCAATCTCTAAGGGATTGGGGCAATCCCACGGCAATCTCCATTTGGTGGGTTGGAGATTGCTTGGTGATCACATTGGGTTTGGTTGGGATGTGGGTGCACACCCAACCAACACAACAGCGCAAACAACACTGGGCTAGGATATAAGAAATACAAGTACAAAAGTTGAGATTCAGGGCTAATTCTAACAACGTTAACTTAAGTAAGCTATCATATATTATTAAACATAAAGCTAAGTAACACGCTTTTGAGCAGTATTTGAGCAGTGCCATGATTCAAGCGAGGCTGGTTGTATCGGGACCTTTCTCTTTTGTGTCTTTCTCCTTTGCAACCTGGATGTCTCACCTAAAACCCTCTCACCTGCGCCTGTCCCACGAGCGCGAGACTCACCTGGGCTAAACACATTCTCAAGCACGTTCCGAATGATGGACACCAGGTCAACCACTGAGCCTGCCGCCCCCATCACTGCCTCCCCCGCCTCATGCCCGATTGTGGTCCGCAAGAGTGGATGCTGGAAGATGGGGAACACAACGGCTGGCACACAGGCATACGGGAGGGGGAGGGGTGGGGGAGGGGCAAGGGAAGGGAAGCACCCGCCCGGACTAGACAATACGTGTTAACGGTCCAGCGAAAGAGCCTGGTGCGAGGAGTGTGAGATTTTGAGCTGAGAATTCAATGAGCAGATGCAAGAAGTCGGGTCGTGTCAAGTCGACGTGGCTCGACCCGACCATGTCAAATGCTCAACCCCAGATGTACATATGCGGCATGGGGAGAAAGTAACGGTATGTTCTGCTTCAAACCTATAAATATGGTCTCAGAATGAAGAAACAACAAACAAACAAACAAACAAACTGTTGAGTTTGAGCAATGTTCCTACAGAGGGTCGTCTCTCTCTATAGCGGAGGGGATTCGCTCAAGCGGAAAATGGGTCCAACCGCAAAGGACCCAAGGGCGTGTCTGCACAAACAACCAAACAAAACAGCAAATGATATGATGCGACTTACGAACGCCAGTGAGGTTGAAGGAGAGATTCCCAATCGGCACAACGGCTCCAAACACCACGTCCCCTGTGCGCTTCACCAGCGGCAACTCCTCGGGAAGGCGTTGCACGATGTCCATGAGGGGGATGGAGCCACGGTAATAGTTGATGTCGAGCAACTTCGGGCAGTAGAGCGGCTGGCGCTGCTGCGGCTGCCCTGCCATGTCCACTATCGGGCCGCCGTACTGCCGCTCAAACGCCGGCCTGAGAAAGAGGGAGACGTTGGATGTGGGAAGATTGCTCTAGCGGCGTGATCATATCTACACTCAACTTAACCCTCCATCCATCTACTAGGAAGGGAGTGGGGGGAAGGGGGGTGGGGGGCGTTATAAGGAGGGGGGTGTTAAAAGGAGAGGGGTGTGGGCTATAAACGCATCCAACCTGGTCCGGTCAAGCCTAGACTGCACATTATTCTCCAGCCTAGGGCAAAAGCTACAAAGTCAAATGCCCTTAATGATCTGAACTTTGGACAGGGTTTTACTCAAGTTCCAGACTACAAGGGTTGGGTTCAACAGTCCTAATTTGCTAGATTTGACCGGTGCCTGGATTTGTTAAGTGATGTTTTTTATTGAAAGCATAATGGTCACAATGAGCTCGCCCCACGCACCTCTCCTTGTCGGTGACAAACAGGCACAACGCTCCTCCGGTGTTCCCCGGCCGTGAATACCCCGTCTTGTTGATATACTCGTCCCACCGCTGCTGCGTGAAGCACTTATCCCACGCCCACTGCCCGTGCTCCCTGGGCCTGCCCATCACTGACGCCAGCCCTGCAAAGGTCTGCGTGGGTGGTGAGAAATGGGGGGTGAGAAATGGATGGTGAGTGGATGAACCAGCATAGAGAGACAACCAGGGCAGAATGCAACCAAGGCTGTAACATTGAATGGAACCCACGATGCAACCACGGCTGGAACCCAGAAATGCAACGCAGGCTGGAACCCAGAAATGCAACCCAGGCTGGAACCCAGAAATGCAACCCAGGCTGGAACCCAGAAATTTAACCAGAATGCAACCCAGGCTGGATCCAAGGCTACCAGGATTGAACTGAGGGACATAACACAGTGCAGAAAACACATGGTCGGATCTGGCTGACAGCAGTGCGTGCCCATTGCTTTTTGTCTATTTGAAAGAGAAAGACGACTTGCATGAATGTGGCTGACGGTGGTGAGCGTGTGCTGCTCGAAGAGCTTGGCGCGCTCGTAGCACCACGTGTGGAGGTGCTGCCAGCGCTCGCTCTCGTACGACGCGTGCCGCGAGTGGCACAGCCACGCCGCCATCGACACCCCCGCCAGCAGCCATGCCGCCAGCAGAACCGCGAAGATGGGGCCTGGCACATGTGGATGAGAGGATATGAGGAACGAACTTCCAGCTCTACTAGGTGCGGTACCGCGAGTGGCACAGCCACGCCGCCATCGACAGCCCCGCCATCCCGCATGCCGCCAGCAGCACCACAAAGACGGGCAGCTGAGGGAGGGAAGTAGGAAGGTGTGTTTTAATGCAGTAATGTCAAACGGAAAAGAAACCCGGCCAACAGCAGACATGCCACCAACAGAACCGTGAAAGTGGGACCTGCAGTGCGGGAGATGAGAAGTAGGTGGGAGGAACTAAGGTATCAGATCTCCACGTTCTGGTTAGAGCAGTGCCGCGAGTAGCACAGCCACGCCGCCATCGACAACCCTGCCAGCACCCATGCCGCCAGGAGAACCGCGAAGATGCGGCCTGGTGTGGGTGGAACGAGTTAAGATTCGAAGTTTAAGCTCTGGCATGAGGAGGGACGCGAGTAGCACAGCCACACCGCCATCGCCAGCCCCGCCAGCACCCATGCCGCCAGGAGAAGCATTGTTTCAAGGGCACCATACAGCCGACAGCCCCGCCAGCAGCCATGCCGCCAGCAAAACCGCGAAGTTGGGAGCTGCCGGGGGGGAGACGTGGGTGGGAGGAACTAAGGAAGGTATCAAGTCTCCACGTTCTGGAAAGAGGAGTGCCGCGAGTAGCACAGCCACGCTGCGACCGACAGCCCCGCCAGCAGCCGTGCTGCCAGCAGCTGTGCTGCCAGCAGCCGTGCTGCCAGCAGCTGTGCTGCCAGCAGCCGTGCTGCCAGCAGCTGTGCTGCCAGCAGCTGTGCTGCCAGCAGAAGCATTGTTTCAAGGGTACCATACGAAACAAGAATCTTGAAATATCAGACTCATTTCACCACCCAATGATGATGCTGTGGAATCAGACGCAGACACTGCTGTGTACTCAAGGGCCATGCGAATTCATGGCTAGTAGCTCTCAAATGGAGAACCTACAAGGCAGGAATTGTAACGCCTGTGGGCTGTGTTAAGGGCATTCCGCTGCGCCAAATAACACCCTCGTTTGGACCCAGTGGGTAGGGAGGTGTTAAAAGGAGAATCAGAGCCTAGGGTTCATATCCCGGCTGGACCACATTTTCTGCCTGTGGCGAGAACTGAAATGTGGTAACCAGACTTGAACCCAGCGAACTATCCTCCGCTGGCCTGAGCAACCAGTGGGTAGCGAGGTGTTATAGGAATAGAGCACTGCATGAAAATTCTCATGAATCGTTGCGAAGGGGTGTTTTGACTCTGACTTAAAACACGCCATGCGGGTTCGTCATGAGGACCTACAAAGCGCCGGGGGTGGAGCAGTGCACGAGAGTTCTCATGAACCGTTGCAAAGAAATGGAGGCCCTCTTTTCGCGGAAGAGGGGAGGAGGAGCGGAAGGGGAGGAAGGGGGAGGAAGGGTGAGGGGGGGATGGGGTGGGGGAGGGGGGAAGGGGGGAAGGAGAGGGGAGGGGGAGAGGAGAGAGGGGAGAGGGGGGAAAGGGGAGGGGGGGTTACGGGGGAACTTCTGAGGATTTTCATGGATTTTTGCGAAGAGGAAGGGGGGAGAAGAGCAATTTTAGGCATTCTCATGATTCTTTTTTAAAAGAACTCCTGCGAAGGCGGGGTAGATACGGCCTTCGAACGCCCGAAAAGGACATCTGCGTGCCTAAGCTTCACCTCGGTTCTCGAGGCGCCTAAATCATCGGAATAGGAGATCCTAAGCTTTACCGCGGAATAAGAGATCTTGAAGTGTGTCTTTGCTGCGTGCAAGCGTCATTGCCTCTATTCGAGCTCGCGCTACGCGAAGCAGCGACACTGCGCATGAGATGCAATGCTACGGAGACCTTCGTCACATGATCATATTCTTCGAGAGCGTAATTAGCGGAGAGCTTTGACATCAGAGCAAGAGCAAGAAGAGCAGATGGGGTTGCGGGTTGTCAGCAGGACACTTCGTGCAATTGGGCAAGCCAAGTGGCATACATTATGCATGCTGATCAGGACTGCTCAGTTACAGTTCACCTATGAATGTTCAGTCTGGTGACTAACGGTTCAAAGTGGTGAAGAGTAACTACCGCTCTGAAGCGCACAGAAACGTACTCTGCCTCTTTCACTCAACTTGCTGTAACCTGCCCAAATGATGCTCCGAAAATGCGGGTATCGAAGATTCCAACAGCAGGTTTCATTGTGTGCAAACGGAGAACGTGCTAGCGAGATATCAAGCAGCATGCCAGTGGAGAGCGGCGAGTGTTGGCGAAATTCCAGCGAGTGTTGCTAGCTCTCTGGGCGACATGAAGAAGGTGTTACTCTGCTTGCCGAATACTAACAAGAGCTTCGCATACTTTTCCATGTCCCACGTGTTATTGGCGGCTTGCCAGCCAGCGTGCATCAATTTGCGAGCCATCCTCACCTCCAGGATGCGAGTGGCCGGCCTGAGGCCCAAATCCTTCTGCAAGGGGTTTTGCCTTACATTCATCCAAGCGTGGGGCTCCACTTGTTCTATTGGGTGGGTCACAAAAGTAATCGTTTTCCTCAGTTGAAGCTGTTGAGTACGATGCTGTGCACTCTGCAGCGGTTTCCAATCTTCACCACTTTGAACCGCTGCTTGCCATCCTGAACATGAACATCGAAGCTGCTCCCCCCCCCCCCCCACCGACATATCAGCCATAGTGGGCATTTCGGTGATTTTCTGCGGTGCGTTCTGACTCTTCTTGAGAGTTTCCAAGCAAATGATGGTTTCACAAGTGGCTGGCAAGGCAGTGCATCTCCTTTTCCACAGCTGCTTCCATTCATATCCATCAACGATTTGATCAGAAAGGCTGCCGAGATAGGTCTCTGGCGCGCGAGCATGGATGCTACTAGCCGTTCTTTCATTGAGCTTATCCTGACGTTGAAGAGAAGCACTCGCCTTGCAATGTTAGACCTAAGACGTGTCTTCGTGCCTTGCGAATTAAGCAAGTATCTCACGACATGGCTTTCACAATGCGTTCGAGCAGCAAGACCACGATTCGAGACGTGGTCATTCGAGGTACGCTACGGTTAACGTGTCAGCGAAATGCTCTTTTCATCAATAACGCCCGTGGAATTTATCCCACATCAATTAGTTATTACTAATTAGCGCAACACTATGCACGGCGTTGTAATGGCTTTGCTGCTTGATGCGCAATTTAGGGTTTCGTCAACCCCCCCGCCCTGAACCAGTCAGTAGTAGTGACAGCCCAGAATCGCGCGCGCCTCGCGCTAATCTGGTGAAGTGTGCTTTCACCCACGCCTGTGTCTCTGGGTGCCAGGCACGTGTCTCGTGATGCAAAAAAAATCATGCATGGTCGTAATATACAGCGTCAAAACGCACCTGCTCCACCCCCCACTCCCCGCGCCAGGCCCCATCTTCGCGGTTCTGCTAGCGGCATGGGTGCTGGCGGGCGTGTCGATGGCGGCGTGGCTGTGCTACTCGCGGCACGCGTCGTACGAGAGCGAGCGCTGGCAGCACCTCGACACGTGGTGCTACGAGCGCGCCAAGCTCTTCGAGCAGCACACGCTCACCACCGTCAGCCAGATCCGCGTGAGTTTCGCAGAGCCCTGCGATGGATTGCATGGAATTTCCTGCACAACAGAGGCAAGCCATGGAGGGACTCTTTTCAGGCTCTTCAGAAGCCTATAAACTCACCCTTCAACGCGGCCCTGTGAACCTTTCATTCGCATCCCTGGCAGACATTCGCAGGGCTGGTGGCGGTGATGGGGAAGCCGAAGAGGGACGGCGGCAAGTGGACGTGGGACAAGTGCTTCACTCGCCTGCGCTGGGACGAGTACATCAACCAGACGGGATACTCTCGCCCGGGAAACATCGGCGCCATGCTCTGCCTCTTTGTCACTGACAAGGAACGGTGCGTGGACACGTGGATGGGTGGCTGGGTGGGTAGGTGGGTGGTTGGGTGAGACGGTGGGAGGGTGGGGTGTGTGCGCATTCGGCCGCAATAGTCAGTCCTGCTCCTGCCTCCCTCACCCTCTCTTCTCGCTACACTTGCTGCTCACATATCCCTGTCCGTCACAGATTCCTAGATCTTCTGCCACTGAGCCTGCCGGCCGTCATGCGCCCTTCCTTCCCGTTGCAGGCCGGCGTTTGAGAGGCAGTATGGGGGGCCGATAGTGGACATGACAGGGCAGCCGCAGCAGCAGCAGCAGCCGCTCGACTGCCCCAAGCTGATTGACATCCATTACTACCGCTCCTCCATCCCCCTAGTCGACCTCGTTCAGCGCATTCCACATGGGTTCCCATGCACTGCGGAGGTCGGGTACAGCGGTGCTTCTCTCTCTCAAAGCCCTTCCTTTTCGCGTGTGCGCCTCTCGCATATGCGCCCTTCCTTCCCGTTGCAGGCCGGCGTTTGAGCGGCAGTACAGCGGGCCGATAGTGGACATGACAGGGCAGCCGCAGCAGCAGCAGCCGCTCTACTGCCCCAAGCTGATCGACATCCACTACTACCGCTCCTCCATCCCCCTCAGCGCATTCCACATGGGTTCCCACGCACTGCGGAGGTCGGGTACAGCGGTGCTTCTCTCTCTCAGACCTTGACTAAAAAGCCCTTCCTTTTCGCGTGTGCGCCTCTCGCAAATGCGCCCTTCCTTCCCGTTGCAGGCCTGCGTTTGAGAGGCAGTATGGGGGGCCGATAGTGGACATGACAGGGCAGCCGCAGCAGCAGCAGCCGCTCTACTGCCCCAAGATGATCGACATCCACTACTACCGCTCCTCCATCCCCCTAGTCGACCTTGTTCAACGCATACCTGATGAGCTCGCCTTCCTCAGACGCACTGGGGAGGTTGGGTATGGCGCTGTGACGCCTGTTGGGAACCTCAGCTACAATCTCACTGGTGTTGGTGAGCCATGAATGCTTAATAGCATTTGTTTGTTTGTTTGCTTTCTTTTTCCCGGATGGGCCAGGCCACCACCACTACTTCCTTTCTTCATCAGTTTTGGCGAACGGACTGCTTGTGTCCCTCTCCTTCAGCTCCTCCTGTTCTCTCCTTCTCTGCTCTATCAAATGATCCAGCATCAATCCACGAGATCGGGTACAGACAAGAAACGCTACTGTTTCCCTTGCCTGCAGCGGTGGGCTTCCCCATCTTGCAGCACCCGCTGCCGCCAAACCCAACGCAGCAGCAGGCAGAGGAGGCGGTGATCGGGGCAGCAGGGTCGGTGGTGGACCTCACCTCCATCGCCAAGAACGTGCTCACCAAGGTGTTCAGCGCAGGTACAAAGTACAGCAAAGGTTCCCCCAGGTATTGCACCCGTACTTCTACTCTCAACTCAGCAGCAGGCGAAGGAAGTTGTAATTAGCACGGCAGGGTCCGTTGTGGACCTCACGTTCATAGCTAGGAACGTGCTCACCAAGGTGTTCAGCGCAAGTAGTGCAGCAAAAGGTGCTGCATTAGGGTTCAAACCCTGGAACCGTCTTAACTCAATAGTTTTTTCCCCCCGGTTTTGCCTCTGAAGTTGTTGTTATCGCATTACAAGCTTAAGACCCTGTTGGTAACAAGTGGTTACAACTTTTAACTCTCATTCTTCTCTTGAGAACTCGTCGTTCGTTTCCATTGCCTTTTTCCCCCTCCATCTGTGTTACCACCCCTCATCACCACTCTCAACCCCTCACCACGACTCCCCAGACCCGTCCATAACCTTTGAGGCGTACGACACCACAGACCCTAGTGCACCCACAATGATCTACGGGCCGGGCCCAAGGCTCATCTTCTACAAGGAGAGGGACATTGCACCCTTTACTGCCGCCTCGCCCGCCAACGTCACGCGCCCCTGGGAGCAGCGCGCTGTCGTGCCTCTTGACCTGCTGGGCGGCCGTCTGCGCCAGTACCAGGTCTGGTGCCGGTGAGTGCAGTTCTGAGGAGTGCGGTTGAGTGCTTGCGGGTGGGGTGTTAGGATTAAGGACAGAGTCCAGGTCGATTAGGGGGCTGAAATAACTCAAAACCGTCAACTAAGTTTCTGGACAAAAAAATCGTCTCCACAAGAAACGACGTCGATGAAAACGCACAATTAGAACTTCACCAAAATCAACTATGTTGTAGCTGTAGAGCGTAGCTACCATTCCCAGTTTGAATCGTATCAAGAGGTGTCAAGATATCAAATTCGGCGCATAGCGGGATATGCTGGAGCTGAAACTTAACTCATAACTCAAAGTTCAACTAAAAACCACAAAAAATATTAGAGTAGCAAGAATCCAGGTGGGGGAAAAAGAGGAGGGTCCTTAACCAAGTAAACCCCATAAGCTCACACATTCCCTCTCTATAGGAACCCAACTTTCACCCTTTTCATTTTCTCAACCTCTCAAATCCACCTCACCCAAATTGACCACACTTGCTGACCTGATTTGGATTTTCCCAAACACTTGGCAGCAACTACAGTGAAGGTGACGATTTTTTCCAACCCCCAATGATTTATACCCCATAAAGAGTCACTCCACAAATTCCCAAAATTGCCGCAACGAAATATCAAAATCATACGAACTTCATTCATTCGCAGCATTTTCGTACATGATACGATTGAGGCGATTCTTGGTTCGTCGAAAAACCTTGAGCAGAGAAGTCATTTCAGAAATCTGCTTAAACAATATATATTTCACACATACTCACAAGCTATGATGGATTATACGCTCTAGACCGTTTGCGTTTAGCGTATCTACGCTAGCGTGTACACGCAATACGCTAAACGCTAGCAAATACGCAATACGCAGCCATATTTTTTTTCGGGCAGCCCGGAAAAGTAAAATCGCGAAAAGATGCGGATTTTCTTGGTGAACATTTCGCCGAAGTCGAAATGCAAATCCGCGGTCGATGCAAGCTGGGATCTGACTTCGAAGGTTTCAGGCACATCTGGCTATTCAAATGTCGAATTTCAGGTCCCATCTAGGCATTTGAACCCATCCCCTCTACCGCATTGAAAACCATCTTATCTACGAACTCCAACCTATCAAAATCGAACCCCCAACAAATCTCACGCTACTTACCAGCCAGCCCAACTCCTAACCGTCATTCCTACCTTGCATTCCCGCTTGCAGCAGTGTCCCCGCGCGCGCACTCCAACTTGAACAGCCTCTCCAACACTACTCCCTATAGCTATGATGTCTACTCCCCGCCCCACCCCACCCGCCGATCGGACTCAGGAAAATGCTAGGGCACATCTTAGTGAGATGTTTTTTCCACCGATAGGGGGTAATTTTTTTCCACCCTGCCCGAAATGTTTTTTCCCTGCCCGAAAAAGCGTATGCCTGATCCGACCCTCAAGCGTATGGCGTATACACGCTAGCGTATATACGATACGCATATATACGCTAAACGCGTATAATCCATCATAGCTCACAAGATCCAAACCATGCCAAATACGTATACCACGCATGCAAAGTACGAACATGGGATGAGAGGCAGACATACGTGAATGTATATGATGACATCACACAGCATGTGGTTGGGTCTGGTGAGTGCAGTGCCGCCTGCGCAAGTAGCAGCGCACATGTCGCTGGTAGCATTTCCCGTTATTCCTGCCTTTCAAGTTTGTCCCACCTCCTACGCCAGGTACTTCAAGCCTCCCGAATGATGCGTGGCACTCATGCGGCGGGCGTGCCCTTCTTCTGGGCTCTACTCGCCCTGGTGCTCGCACCCTTGGTGTCTGCCAGCCGTAGCATGGCAACAATTCTTGCAACTCCTTCCTCCCAACTCCCTTCCACCGCTGCTACCACCAGGTACTCCGAGCCTTCCGATGCATGGCAATCGTGGGGCATTCGCTTCCTCTGGGCATTACTTGCTGTCGTCCTCACAGCATTAGTAGCAGCCGTGGCATGGCAGCAGCGCGTGGGGTACTTACGAAGCCAAGAAGGAATGGCAGAGGCCGACCGTCTCCGAGCCAGCGCGCGCGCAGCAGAGCGGTCCAAGAGTGTGTTCGTGGCGTCCATGTCTCACGAGCTGCGCACGCCCATGATCGGCATCATGGGGTTGTTAGACGCTCTGGCAGACATGGGGCTGAGTCGCAATCAGTTAGCGGATGTGGGGGAGGCGAGGGCATCAGCGGAGGACACGGTTCGGCTGGTGAATCGCGTGCTCGATCTGTCCAAGCTGGAGGCCCGCAAGATGGGGCTTTGTTGTGCGCCGGTTGAGCCGAGGGCCTGGTTGGAGGGCGTTGTTGGGGAGAACTATTGACGGGCTCGACAAAAAGGAATAGAGCGTGAGTGGGTGTGCAAAGGGCGAAAATTGGGAGAGTGGAGGAGGATGTAAGTGTGTGGTTGAGGGGCGAGGATTGGGATGGAAGAGTAGACGAGGATGTGAATGTGTGAGTGTGTGAGTGGTGGAGGAAGGTTGGGTGGCAGGCACTGTGTAAGAATCGAGGCATGTTGTCACAACCACATGTTTGCTGTGACATTTTTTGCCTTACCACTTTGTTGTTGGATGTCATTGTGTCTGAGGGGTCATGATTGCCGTTCAGCATGACCATTGTTGGTGTTTTTGAGACGTCTCAAAAACACCCTCACTTCACGTGGCTACTCCTTGTGTATGAGGGGTCATGATTGCCGTTCAGCATAACCATTGTTGGTCCCCAAAGTGTGATCTCCGTCTTGTAGATGTTTCCTTTCATTTCTGAGTGTTGTTTGTCGAATTGATTCTTTCTTCCATTGTTCCTTTCAGTCTCATCTCCCTACGGCAGTGGTGGGAGTGGTGGATGTGAACGTGCCAGAGGAGCTGGAAATTGACGTCATGCGGCTCACACAGGCACAGGCACAGCTCACCAAGAGCTTGTTGGTCCAATCCATTGATCTTCCCCTGATCTTCGTCCCCCTATGGCAGTGGTGGGAGTGGTGGATGTGAACGTGCCAGAGGAGCTGGAAGTTGACGTCATGAGGCTCACTCAAGCTTTCCAAGAGCTTATAGGTGAGCCTCGTACCTCGCATCACATGTGTCGCACGATACTCAAAGAGTTTACAGGCACGGTTTACAATGCTCAGAATTGTCACCAGATACTCAAAAGATAAGCACGGATAGGACTCGAACCATCCCATCAATCCATCCCTCCCATCACCCCATCCCTCCCATCACCCCATCCCTCCCATGACCCCATTGCCACCAGACAATGCAGTGCGCTACACGGGGAGCGGACACGTGTTGCTGAGGGTGTCTGTATGTTCCGCCACCACCACTCTGCAGCAAGCCCTCGACCATCTCAGTCAGTCGTACTCTCATAACTGACTGAGGTCTCCCAGTGAAGCAGCATTTCCCTGTTTAATGCCTGCCAACCTCCTGTTGGTTTAGCTGAGCTCATTACAAGGTGATTCGAACCAATCGCCCAGAACTGAAGTCAGCGAACTTTGTTTCACGGTGAGGTAAGATGTTCTGTTTTGGCCCCGCCCTCAGCAGCATTCTAAAAAGAGACCGTATGCCATATTTAGCCACACTCTATCTGTCCTTGTCATTCATCACTCTTGCCCTTCTCACTACAGTCATCATCTCCTACTCACCTAAACGCTCGCTCCCCCGCACACCTGACTCCCTCCCTCCCCCCCCCATCGCACCGTCTCTCCCTACCCCCCCCCTTCAGATTCCTCAGACGCGCCTCTCCCGCCCTCGCCTCCTCCTCCCCCTCCATCGTTCCTCTCCTGGCTCCTCCGCCTGCCTGCCCGCCTGATCTCCCACCTGATCGTCCGCCTGGTTCTCTGCATCAGAGCTCCCCGCCTCCCGCTTTGCCAGGGCAGCCCCTCGTGCGACCATAGCACTGACGAAAGCATCGAGGAGAGAGCCGACCAGAGCCCTGACCAGAGTGCCTTTCAGAGACTTGATGAGCGGAATTCTCAGAGAAGCGATCAGAGAATTGATGAGCGGAATTCTCAGAGAAGCGATCAGAGAATTGATGAGCGGAATTCTCAGAGAAGCGATCAGAGAATTGATGAGCGGAATTCTCAGAGAAGCGATCAGAGAATTGATGAGCGGAATTCTCAGAGAAGCGATCAGAGAATTGATGAGCGGAATTCTCAGAGAAGCGATCAGAGAATTGATGAGCGGAATTCTCAGAGAAGCGATCAGAGAATTGATGAGCGGAATTCTCAGAGAAGCGATCAGAGAATTGATGAGCGGAATTCTCAGAGAAGCGATCAGAGAATTGATGAGCGGAATTCTCAGAGAAGCGATCAGAGAATTGATGAGCGGAATTCTCAGAGAAGCGATCAGAGACTTGATGAGCGGAATTCTCAGAGAAGCGATCAGAGAATTGATGCGAGCAACGGTCAGAGGATTGCCGAGAGTATTGATGGGAGCAGTGAGAGCGAGGAGCTGTCGGTGCGAAGCGATGATGCGGACGCAGAAGGAGGGTGCTTGCCTGCTGATGCAATAGGAGGGTGCTGGTCTGGTGTAAGGCTGTGGGCGGCTGAGGGAGTGAGTGGGGTCACGAGGGGGGATGGAGGAGAGGGGGACTCGGAGGAGGGTTGGGGGGGCGATGGGGGAGAAAGTGGGTATGGCAGCGGCGGGAGTGGGGGGATGCAGCTGGTGGTGGCGTGTGAGGATACAGGGTGTGGCATTGAGCAGGAGAAGCAAGAAGGGCTGTTTGAGTTGAAGGTGAGAAGTCATGGATGAATACCTATGGTGTGGGTGAGATGGAGGTGCGAGTGGGTGCGGTGGGGAGTGGGGGGGATGCAGCTGGTGGTGGCGTGTGAAGATACGGGGTGTGGCATCGATGAAGAAAAGCAAGAAGGGCTGTTTGAGTTGAAGGTGAGGAAACGTGGATGACTTCCAAGTAGGGTGTTTTTGAGAATTCTCAAAAACAGCCTAAAGGTGAGGAAACGTGGATGGATGACTTCCAACCAAGTGAGATGGTGCGTGCGTGCATGCTGGCACGTGTAATCTGCCTTTTAATACTACTACGCTTACCTACACGTGTTCTCGCCTAGTACTCAGTGAATTTCTCTACTCAGATCGGTCGAACTGAGCTTGCAGCTTTCTATCCGTTTCCTTCGTTTGTGAGGAAACGTGGATGGATGACTTCCAACCAAGTGAGATGGTGCGTGCATGCATGCTGGCATGCGGGGGAGCGGACGAGCAGGCGGGCACGCAGGCGTGCAGGCGCGCGCGTGCGCGCGGTCGCGTGTGTGCGTGTGTGCATGTGTCTTGTATGTAGGCGAGGAATGGCAGCTGTCGGTGCAAGCCAGAAGCTGGGCCTGGTAAACTCTGGTGTCCGCCTGTGTTTTGCTGCCGTGTTTGAGTCGACTCAGAAGCTTAGGGTGCCAGCTCACTTCTGGTGTGGTGCCTGGCTGGTTCAAAACATTCACCATCCACGTTGATCCCTTCACTGTTTTTGAGATATCTTGTCACCAACGCACTTCTGGTTGCCTGACTCGTTGTGTGTTCTGATTGTCTTTGTGTTCGACAGGGGAGAACAGAGAGTGGGGGAGCAGGGCTGGGCCTTGCTCTCACACACCAACTGGTGAGGCCATTCTGCACTCTTCTCGTGCTTGAGATTCTTTCTTCCCATCACCCCTGCCTGCCGCCACCGATTTCTCCTTTCTCTTAGCACCACGCTTTTCGCCCATGCCTCTTGAGCCGACACTAGTGAGCACTCATTCAAGTGTACCCCCCATTTCACTGTTTTCGTCGCTCAAAGAACAACCAAACCAAGCGCATGCCGTTCAACCCATTTCACTCAATGCTTGCCCCTCCCCCACCGCCGCCCTCGCTTCCGCTCCCTTTTCTCTCCGTCCGGCCTGCATGTCTCATCCCAGCATTCGTGTGCCCTCCGCCCTTCCCTCCTCCTCCCCTCTTCCCCCCATCCCCCTCCCGTTTTCCCTGCCCACCAGGTGACCCTCATGGGCGGCCATGTGGCCTGCTTGTCTCATCCCGGCATCGGCTCAACCTTCGCCTTCTCCCTCCCCTTCTCCTCGCCCCCCTCGCCCCCCGCCCCTCCCACTCGCCTGACTCCCCCCCTCACTCCTCCCACTGCCGTCACCCATCATCATCCCACTCCTCTTGCACCCATCACTCACCCTCCCGCTCCCCCCACTGGCGGTTTGGAGGGAGTGGCAGTGGGCGTGGTGGCATCTCATGGAGTCAGGAGAGAGGTGAGCACTCAGCAGAGGGAGGGAGTTGACGGTAGTAAGGATGTTTGCACGTGGACGTAGAGAGACTGCTGGTGGGCGACATTGTTGTGAAAGGGTGTGAAAGTGGATTTTCTGCTTTCATTCTCTCGCTGCACCCCCCTCCCTCCCCCTTTTTCTCCCCCTCCCTCCCTCCCCCCGTCGCTTCTTGGAACCCTCGGAACGCCATACATTTCCTGTTTTTGTTGATATTTTATTCTTGTGGATATTATATAACGTGCCCTATATCCTCCATACCTTCGCTAACGCTCTCCTTGATTCGTTCACGCTTGCTCAATCCCTTTGCCTTAAACCGATTCCAGCTGACGGCTCGCATTCTATCGGGTCTCGGGGCACAAGTGCGCATGCTTCGAGCCCCTAGGAGCGAGCCTCGGCGAGGGAGAGAAGGTGAAGGAGTTGAAGGAGAGAAACCCGAGGGAGAAGGACAGAGCATTTGTTTAGATGGAGAAGGAGAGGATAGGTGGTCAGGAGGAGGAGGGAGGAGCTTTTTAGAGGGAAAAGAGAGGATCGAGGGAGTAGTGGCGATGAGGGAGGGCATCCCTTGGGTGGTGGTGGTGGAAGAGGAGGAGGGTCTGTATAGAGGGCACAGGGAGGAAGCAGGAGGGCCTGCTACTGTTGGTGCATATGAGAGTGGTGTGAGTGGTCAGGAGTGTGGTGGGAATGGGTGGTGGAGGGGGCATGCGCTAGAAAGCGGGGCGGTTGTGGCGTGGGGCAAGGGAATGCCTGTGGTTGCGCTGGTGCCTCCAACAGGGGCAGGCAGCAGGGAGGCAGCAGTGTGGCAGGCGGGCGTGCGTGCGGTGAGAGTGATGGAGGGGATGGAAGGGATGCCACGTGGCGCTCTGGTGGTGGGGGTGGTCGTTCTGACGGCCTGCTGTGGTGGAGAGACGATGGGGGATGGAGAGGAGAGGGAGGAAGGAGAAGAGGAGGAGGAGGAGGAGGAGATAGAGGAGGAAGAGGAGGGAGAAGAGGAAGAGGAGGGAGAGGATGTAAGTGTGGAAGTGGGAAAGAAGAAGTGGAATGTTGATGTGGGAAGGGGACGAGTAGGAAGTCATTCTCAGCTGCAACAATCACCATTTACAGCTGCCACTGTTACTGCCTCTGCCTCTGCCTCTGCCTCTGCCTCTGATGCCATCTCTCCCCAAATAGTCATCTGTCGCCGCCCATTGCTCTCTCACCATCTGCACCATGCCGTTCAGGTGAGCCTCTGCTGCCATCGAGTGAGCCTCTGTCACCATCAGGTGAGCCTCTGTCACCATCAGGTGAGCTTCTGTCATCATCAGGTGAGCCTCTGTCATCATCAGGTGAGCCTCTGTTGCCATCTGTTTACAGCCCCAGTTACGCTTCTCTCCTTCTGACGTTCCGGTTTCATCACCCTCTCTACTCTTGACACTCCCTTACATCATGCCCGCCAATGCCCTTCCCATGCCCCTATGGCCCTCCCTTGCCCCTATGCCCCTCCCATGCCCCTATGCCCCTCCCATGCCCCTATGGCCCTCCCATGCCCCTATGGCCCTCCCATGCCCCTATGCCCTTCCCATGCCCCTATGGCCCTCCCATGCCCCTATGGCCCTCCCATGCCCCTATGGCCCTCCCATGCCCCTATGGCCCTCCCATGCCCCTATGGCCCTCCCATGCCCCTATGGCCCTCCCATGCCCCTATGGCCCTCCCATGCCCCTATGGCCCTCCCATGCCCCTATGGCCCTCCCATGCCCCTATGGCCCTCCCATGCTCCTCCCATCCTTGACCGTCGCTGTACAATGTAGATGGCAGCATTTGGACAGGGCAATGTGGAGGACGAGCAGAGGGAGAGCAAGCAGGAGAGGGACAGCGCGCTGCGAGTAATCTTCTGCCACTGAGCCTGCCGGCCGTCATGCGCCCTTCCTTCCCGTTGCAGGCCGGCGTTTGAGAGGCAGTATGGGGGGCCGATAGTGGACATGACAGGGCAGCCGCAGCAGCAGCAGCAGCCGCTCGACTGCCCCAAGCTGATTGACATCCATTACTACCGCTCCTCCATCCCCCTAGTCGACCTCGTTCAGCGCATTCCACATGGGTTCCCATGCACTGCGGAGGTCGGGTACAGCGGTGCTTCTCTCTCTCAAAGCCCTTCCTTTTCGCGTGTGCGCCTCTCGCATATGCGCCCTTCCTTCCCGTTGCAGGCCGGCGTTTGAGCGGCAGTACAGCGGGCCGATAGTGGACATGACAGGGCAGCCGCAGCAGCAGCAGCCGCTCTACTGCCCCAAGCTGATCGACATCCACTACTACCGCTCCTCCATCCCCCTCAGCGCATTCCACATGGGTTCCCACGCACTGCGGAGGTCGGGTACAGCGGTGCTTCTCTCTCTCAGACCTTGACTAAAAAGCCCTTCCTTTTCGCGTGTGCGCCTCTCGCAAATGCGCCCTTCCTTCCCGTTGCAGGCCTGCGTTTGAGAGGCAGTATGGGGGGCCGATAGTGGACATGACAGGGCAGCCGCAGCAGCAGCAGCCGCTCTACTGCCCCAAGATGATCGACATCCACTACTACCGCTCCTCCATCCCCCTAGTCGACCTTGTTCAACGCATACCTGATGAGCTCGCCTTCCTCAGACGCACTGGGGAGGTTGGGTATGGCGCTGTGACGCCTGTTGGGAACCTCAGCTACAATCTCACTGGTGTTGGTGAGCCATGAATGCTTAATAGCATTTGTTTGTTTGTTTGCTTTCTTTTTCCCGGATGGGCCAGGCCACCACCACTACTTCCTTTCTTCATCAGTTTTGGCGAACGGACTGCTTGTGTCCCTCTCCTTCAGCTCCTCCTGTTCTCTCCTTCTCTGCTCTATCAAATGATCCAGCATCAATCCACGAGATCGGGTACAGACAAGAAACGCTACTGTTTCCCTTGCCTGCAGCGGTGGGCTTCCCCATCTTGCAGCACCCGCTGCCGCCAAACCCAACGCAGCAGCAGGCAGAGGAGGCGGTGATCGGGGCAGCAGGGTCGGTGGTGGACCTCACCTCCATCGCCAAGAACGTGCTCACCAAGGTGTTCAGCGCAGGTACAAAGTACAGCAAAGGTTCCCCCAGGTATTGCACCCGTACTTCTACTCTCAACTCAGCAGCAGGCGAAGGAAGTTGTAATTAGCACGGCAGGGTCCGTTGTGGACCTCACGTTCATAGCTAGGAACGTGCTCACCAAGGTGTTCAGCGCAAGTAGTGCAGCAAAAGGTGCTGCATTAGGGTTCAAACCCTGGAACCGTCTTAACTCAATAGTTTTTTCCCCCCGGTTTTGCCTCTGAAGTTGTTGTTATCGCATTACAAGCTTAAGACCCTGTTGGTAACAAGTGGTTACAACTTTTAACTCTCATTCTTCTCTTGAGAACTCGTCGTTCGTTTCCATTGCCTTTTTCCCCCTCCATCTGTGTTACCACCCCTCATCACCACTCTCAACCCCTCACCACGACTCCCCAGACCCGTCCATAACCTTTGAGGCGTACGACACCACAGACCCCAGTGCACCCACAATGATCTACGGGCCGGGCCCAAGGCTCATCTTCTACAAGGAGAGGGACATTGCACCCTTTACTGCCGCCTCGCCCGCCAACGTCACGCGCCCCTGGGAGCAGCGCGCTGTCGTGCCTCTTGACCTGCTGGGCGGCCGTCTGCGCCAGTACCAGGTCTGGTGCCGGTGAGTGCAGTTCTGAGGAGTGCGGTTGAGTGCTTGCGGGTGGGGTGTTAGGATTAAGGACAGAGTCCAGGTCGATTAGGGGGCTGAAATAACTCAAAACCGTCAACTAAGTTTCTGGACAAAAAAATCGTCTCCACAAGAAACGACGTCGATGAAAACGCACAATTAGAACTTCACCAAAATCAACTATGTTGTAGCTGTAGAGCGTAGCTACCATTCCCAGTTTGAATCGTATCAAGAGGTGTCAAGATATCAAATTCGGCGCATAGCGGGATATGCTGGAGCTGAAACTTAACTCATAACTCAAAGTTCAACTAAAAACCACAAAAAATATTAGAGTAGCAAGAATCCAGGTGGGGGAAAAAGAGGAGGGTCCTTAACCAAGTAAACCCCATAAGCTCACACATTCCCTCTCTATAGGAACCCAACTTTCACCCTTTTCATTTTCTCAACCTCTCAAATCCACCTCACCCAAATTGACCACACTTGCTGACCTGATTTGGATTTTCCCAAACACTTGGCAGCAACTACAGTGAAGGTGACGATTTTTTCCAACCCCCAATGATTTATACCCCATAAAGAGTCACTCCACAAATTCCCAAAATTGCCGCAACGAAATATCAAAATCATACGAACTTCATTCATTCGCAGCATTTTCGTACATGATACGATTGAGGCGATTCTTGGTTCGTCGAAAAACCTTGAGCAGAGAAGCCATTTCAGAAATCTGCTTAAACAATATATATTTCACACATACTCACAAGCTATGATGGATTATACGCTCTAGACCGTTTGCGTTTAGCGTATCTACGCTAGCGTGTACACGCAATACGCTAAACGCTAGCAAATACGCAATACGCAGCCATATTTTTTTTCGGGCAGCCCGGAAAAGTAAAATCGCGAAAAGATGCGGATTTTCTTGGTGAACATTTCGCCGAAGTCGAAATGCAAATCCGCGGTCGATGCAAGCTGGGATCTGACTTCGAAGGTTTCAGGCACATCTGGCTATTCAAATGTCGAATTTCAGGTCCCATCTAGGCATTTGAACCCATCCCCTCTACCGCATTGAAAACCATCTTATCTACGAACTCCAACCTATCAAAATCGAACCCCCAACAAATCTCACGCTACTTACCAGCCAGCCCAACTCCTAACCGTCATTCCTACCTTGCATTCCCGCTTGCAGCAGTGTCCCCGCGCGCGCACTCCAACTTGAACAGCCTCTCCAACACTACTCCCTATAGCTATGATGTCTACTCCCCGCCCCACCCCACCCGCCGATCGGACTCAGGAAAATGCTAGGGCACATCTTAGTGAGATGTTTTTTCCACCGATAGGGGGTAATTTTTTTCCACCCTGCCCGAAATGTTTTTTCCCTGCCCGAAAAAGCGTATGCCTGATCCGACCCTCAAGCGTATGGCGTATACACGCTAGCGTATATACGATACGCATATATACGCTAAACGCGTATAATCCATCATAGCTCACAAGATCCAAACCATGCCAAATACGTATACCACGCATGCAAAGTACGAACATGGGATGAGAGGCAGACATACGTGAATGTATATGATGACATCACACAGCATGTGGTTGGGTCTGGTGAGTGCAGTGCCGCCTGCGCAAGTAGCAGCGCACATGTCGCTGGTAGCATTTCCCGTTATTCCTGCCTTTCAAGTTTGTCCCACCTCCTACGCCAGGTACTTCAAGCCTCCCGAATGATGCGTGGCACTCATGCGGCGGGCGTGCCCTTCTTCTGGGCTCTACTCGCCCTGGTGCTCGCACCCTTGGTGTCTGCCAGCCGTAGCATGGCAACAATTCTTGCAACTCCTTCCTCCCAACTCCCTTCCACCGCTGCTACCACCAGGTACTCCGAGCCTTCCGATGCATGGCAATCGTGGGGCATTCGCTTCCTCTGGGCATTACTTGCTGTCGTCCTCACAGCATTAGTAGCAGCCGTGGCATGGCAGCAGCGCGTGGGGTACTTACGAAGCCAAGAAGGAATGGCAGAGGCCGACCGTCTCCGAGCCAGCGCGCGCGCAGCAGAGCGGTCCAAGAGTGTGTTCGTGGCGTCCATGTCTCACGAGCTGCGCACGCCCATGATCGGCATCATGGGGTTGTTAGACGCTCTGGCAGACATGGGGCTGAGTCGCAATCAGTTAGCGGATGTGGGGGAGGCGAGGGCATCAGCGGAGGACACGGTTCGGCTGGTGAATCGCGTGCTCGATCTGTCCAAGCTGGAGGCCCGCAAGATGGGGCTTTGTTGTGCGCCGGTTGAGCCGAGGGCCTGGTTGGAGGGCGTTGTTGGGGAGAACTATTGACGGGCTCGACAAAAAGGAATAGAGCGTGAGTGGGTGTGCAAAGGGCGAAAATTGGGAGAGTGGAGGAGGATGTAAGTGTGTGGTTGAGGGGCGAGGATTGGGATGGAAGAGTAGACGAGGATGTGAATGTGTGAGTGTGTGAGTGGTGGAGGAAGGTTGGGTGGCAGGCACTGTGTAAGAATCGAGGCATGTTGTCACAACCACATGTTTGCTGTGACATTTTTTGCCTTACCACTTTGTTGTTGGATGTCATTGTGTCTGAGGGGTCATGATTGCCGTTCAGCATGACCATTGTTGGTGTTTTTGAGACGTCTCAAAAACACCCTCACTTCACGTGGCTACTCCTTGTGTATGAGGGGTCATGATTGCCGTTCAGCATAACCATTGTTGGTCCCCAAAGTGTGATCTCCGTCTTGTAGATGTTTCCTTTCATTTCTGAGTGTTGTTTGTCGAATTGATTCTTTCTTCCATTGTTCCTTTCAGTCTCATCTCCCTACGGCAGTGGTGGGAGTGGTGGATGTGAACGTGCCAGAGGAGCTGGAAATTGACGTCATGCGGCTCACACAGGCACAGGCACAGCTCACCAAGAGCTTGTTGGTCCAATCCATTGATCTTCCCCTGATCTTCGTCCCCCTATGGCAGTGGTGGGAGTGGTGGATGTGAACGTGCCAGAGGAGCTGGAAGTTGACGTCATGAGGCTCACTCAAGCTTTCCAAGAGCTTATAGGTGAGCCTCGTACCTCGCATCACATGTGTCGCACGATACTCAAAGAGTTTACAGGCACGGTTTACAATGCTCAGAATTGTCACCAGATACTCAAAAGATAAGCACGGATAGGACTCGAACCATCCCATCAATCCATCCCTCCCATCACCCCATCCCTCCCATCACCCCATCCCTCCCATGACCCCATTGCCACCAGACAATGCAGTGCGCTACACGGGGAGCGGACACGTGTTGCTGAGGGTGTCTGTATGTTCCGCCACCACCACTCTGCAGCAAGCCCTCGACCATCTCAGTCAGTCGTACTCTCATAACTGACTGAGGTCTCCCAGTGAAGCAGCATTTCCCTGTTTAATGCCTGCCAACCTCCTGTTGGTTTAGCTGAGCTCATTACAAGGTGATTCGAACCAATCGCCCAGAACTGAAGTCAGCGAACTTTGTTTCACGGTGAGGTAAGATGTTCTGTTTTGGCCCCGCCCTCAGCAGCATTCTAAAAAGAGACCGTATGCCATATTTAGCCACACTCTATCTGTCCTTGTCATTCATCACTCTTGCCCTTCTCACTACAGTCATCATCTCCTACTCACCTAAACGCTCGCTCCCCCGCACACCTGACTCCCTCCCTCCCCCCCCCATCGCACCGTCTCTCCCTACCCCCCCCCTTCAGATTCCTCAGACGCGCCTCTCCCGCCCTCGCCTCCTCCTCCCCCTCCATCGTTCCTCTCCTGGCTCCTCCGCCTGCCTGCCCGCCTGATCTCCCACCTGATCGTCCGCCTGGTTCTCTGCATCAGAGCTCCCCGCCTCCCGCTTTGCCAGGGCAGCCCCTCGTGCGACCATAGCACTGACGAAAGCATCGAGGAGAGAGCCGACCAGAGCCCTGACCAGAGTGCCTTTCAGAGACTTGATGAGCGGAATTCTCAGAGAAGCGATCAGAGAATTGATGAGCGGAATTCTCAGAGAAGCGATCAGAGAATTGATGAGCGGAATTCTCAGAGAAGCGATCAGAGAATTGATGAGCGGAATTCTCAGAGAAGCGATCAGAGAATTGATGAGCGGAATTCTCAGAGAAGCGATCAGAGAATTGATGAGCGGAATTCTCAGAGAAGCGATCAGAGAATTGATGAGCGGAATTCTCAGAGAAGCGATCAGAGAATTGATGAGCGGAATTCTCAGAGAAGCGATCAGAGAATTGATGAGCGGAATTCTCAGAGAAGCGATCAGAGAATTGATGAGCGGAATTCTCAGAGAAGCGATCAGAGAATTGATGAGCGGAATTCTCAGAGAAGCGATCAGAGACTTGATGAGCGGAATTCTCAGAGAAGCGATCAGAGAATTGATGCGAGCAACGGTCAGAGGATTGCCGAGAGTATTGATGGGAGCAGTGAGAGCAAGGAGCTGTCGGTGCGAAGCGATGATGCGGACGCAGAAGGAGGGTGCTTGCCTGCTGATGCAATAGGAGGGTGCTGGTCTGGTGTAAGGCTGTGGGCGGCTGAGGGAGTGAGTGGGGTCACGAGGGGGGATGGAGGAGAGGGGGACTCGGAGGAGGGTTGGGGGGGCGATGGGGGAGAAAGTGGGTATGGCAGCGGCGGGAGTGGGGGGATGCAGCTGGTGGTGGCGTGTGAGGATACAGGGTGTGGCATTGAGCAGGAGAAGCAAGAAGGGCTGTTTGAGTTGAAGGTGAGAAGTCATGGATGAATACCTATGGTGTGGGTGAGATGGAGGTGCGAGTGGGTGCGGTGGGGAGTGGGGGGGATGCAGCTGGTGGTGGCGTGTGAAGATACGGGGTGTGGCATCGATGAAGAAAAGCAAGAAGGGCTGTTTGAGTTGAAGGTGAGGAAACGTGGATGACTTCCAAGTAGGGTGTTTTTGAGAATTCTCAAAAACAGCCTAAAGGTGAGGAAACGTGGATGGATGACTTCCAACCAAGTGAGATGGTGCGTGCGTGCATGCTGGCACGTGTAATCTGCCTTTTAATACTACTACGCTTACCTACACGTGTTCTCGCCTAGTACTCAGTGAATTTCTCTACTCAGATCGGTCGAACTGAGCTTGCAGCTTTCTATCCGTTTCCTTCGTTTGTGAGGAAACGTGGATGGATGACTTCCAACCAAGTGAGATGGTGCGTGCGTGCATGCTGGCATGCGGGGGAGCGGACGAGCAGGCGGGCACGCAGGCGTGCAGGCGCGCGCGTGCGCGCGGTCGCGTGTGTGCGTGTGTGCATGTGTCTTGTATGTAGGCGAGGAATGGCAGCTGTCGGTGCAAGCCAGAAGCTGGGCCTGGTAAACTCTGGTGTCCGCCTGTGTTTTGCTGCCGTGTTTGAGTCGACTCAGAAGCTTAGGGTGCCAGCTCACTTCTGGTGTGGTGCCTGGCTGGTTCAAAACATTCACCATCCACGTTGATCCCTTCACTGTTTTTGAGATATCTTGTCACCAACGCACTTCTGGTTGCCTGACTCGTTGTGTGTTCTGATTGTCTTTGTGTTCGACAGGGGAGAACAGAGAGTGGGGGAGCAGGGCTGGGCCTTGCTCTCACACACCAACTGGTGAGGCCATTCTGCACTCTTCTCGTGCTTGAGATTCTTTCTTCCCATCACCCCTGCCTGCCGCCACCGATTTCTCCTTTCTCTTAGCACCACGCTTTTCGCCCATGCCTCTTGAGCCGACACTAGTGAGCACTCATTCAAGTGTACCCCCCATTTCACTGTTTTCGTCGCTCAAAGAACAACCAAACCAAGCGCATGCCGTTCAACCCATTTCACTCAATGCTTGCCCCTCCCCCACCGCCGCCCTCGCTTCCGCTCCCTTTTCTCTCCGTCCGGCCTGCATGTCTCATCCCAGCATTCGTGTGCCCTCCGCCCTTCCCTCCTCCTCCCCTCTTCCCCCCATCCCCCTCCCGTTTTCCCTGCCCACCAGGTGACCCTCATGGGCGGCCATGTGGCCTGCTTGTCTCATCCCGGCATCGGCTCAACCTTCGCCTTCTCCCTCCCCTTCTCCTCGCCCCCCTCGCCCCCCGCCCCTCCCACTCGCCTGACTCCCCCCCTCACTCCTCCCACTGCCGTCACCCATCATCATCCCACTCCTCTTGCACCCATCACTCACCCTCCCGCTCCCCCCACTGGCGGTTTGGAGGGAGTGGCAGTGGGCGTGGTGGCATCTCATGGAGTCAGGAGAGAGGTGAGCACTCAGCAGAGGGAGGGAGTTGACGGTAGTAAGGATGTTTGCACGTGGACGTAGAGAGACTGCTGGTGGGCGACATTGTTGTGAAAGGGTGTGAAAGTGGATTTTCTGCTTTCATTCTCTCGCTGCACCCCCCTCCCTCCCCCTTTTTCTCCCCCTCCCTCCCTCCCCCCGTCGCTTCTTGGAACCCTCGGAACGCCATACATTTCCTGTTTTTGTTGATATTTTATTCTTGTGGATATTATATAACGTGCCCTATATCCTCCATACCTTCGCTAACGCTCTCCTTGATTCGTTCACGCTTGCTCAATCCCTTTGCCTTAAACCGATTCCAGCTGACGGCTCGCATTCTATCGGGTCTCGGGGCACAAGTGCGCATGCTTCGAGCCCCTAGGAGCGAGCCTCGGCGAGGGAGAGAAGGTGAAGGAGTTGAAGGAGAGAAACCCGAGGGAGAAGGACAGAGCATTTGTTTAGATGGAGAAGGAGAGGATAGGTGGTCAGGAGGAGGAGGGAGGAGCTTTTTAGAGGGAAAAGAGAGGATCGAGGGAGTAGTGGCGATGAGGGAGGGCATCCCTTGGGTGGTGGTGGTGGAAGAGGAGGAGGGTCTGTATAGAGGGCACAGGGAGGAAGCAGGAGGGCCTGCTACTGTTGGTGCATATGAGAGTGGTGTGAGTGGTCAGGAGTGTGGTGGGAATGGGTGGTGGAGGGGGCATGCGCTAGAAAGCGGGGCGGTTGTGGCGTGGGGCAAGGGAATGCCTGTGGTTGCGCTGGTGCCTCCAACAGGGGCAGGCAGCAGGGAGGCAGCAGTGTGGCAGGCGGGCGTGCGTGCGGTGAGAGTGATGGAGGGGATGGAAGGGATGCCACGTGGCGCTCTGGTGGTGGGGGTGGTCGTTCTGACGGCCTGCTGTGGTGGAGAGACGATGGGGGATGGAGAGGAGAGGGAGGAAGGAGAAGAGGAGGAGGAGGAGGAGGAGATAGAGGAGGAAGAGGAGGGAGAAGAGGAAGAGGAGGGAGAGGATGTAAGTGTGGAAGTGGGAAAGAAGAAGTGGAATGTTGATGTGGGAAGGGGACGAGTAGGAAGTCATTCTCAGCTGCAACAATCACCATTTACAGCTGCCACTGTTACTGCCTCTGCCTCTGCCTCTGCCTCTGCCTCTGATGCCATCTCTCCCCAAATAGTCATCTGTCGCCGCCCATTGCTCTCTCACCATCTGCACCATGCCGTTCAGGTGAGCCTCTGCTGCCATCGAGTGAGCCTCTGTCACCATCAGGTGAGCCTCTGTCACCATCAGGTGAGCTTCTGTCATCATCAGGTGAGCCTCTGTCATCATCAGGTGAGCCTCTGTTGCCATCTGTTTACAGCCCCAGTTACGCTTCTCTCCTTCTGACGTTCCGGTTTCATCACCCTCTCTACTCTTGACACTCCCTTACATCATGCCCGCCAATGCCCTTCCCATGCCCCTATGGCCCTCCCTTGCCCCTATGCCCCTCCCATGCCCCTATGCCCCTCCCATGCCCCTATGGCCCTCCCATGCCCCTATGGCCCTCCCATGCCCCTATGCCCTTCCCATGCCCCTATGGCCCTCCCATGCCCCTATGGCCCTCCCATGCCCCTATGGCCCTCCCATGCCCCTATGGCCCTCCCATGCCCCTATGGCCCTCCCATGCCCCTATGGCCCTCCCATGCCCCTATGGCCCTCCCATGCCCCTATGGCCCTCCCATGCCCCTATGGCCCTCCCATGCTCCTCCCATCCTTGACCGTCGCTGTACAATGTAGATGGCAGCATTTGGACAGGGCAATGTGGAGGACGAGCAGAGGGAGAGCAAGCAGGAGAGGGACAGCGCGCAGCATGTGGGTAGTGAACTGGATGGCACAAGCCTGAGTAACGGTTACAACTGGGTTACCAGGAGGAGCAATGGAGAGGCATGGCAGGGAGAGAGTCGTATCGCAAAGGGTGCGAGGGAGATGGCAAGAGTGGGAGCAGACAGTGCAAGTGCAGCAGATGGTGATGCGTACAGCAGCCAAAGCAGCAGCTTCAGGAGCGGGAGAGAGTCAGCAGCAGCTGCAGCAGCAGATGCAACGCTGCAGGGGATGGGGGTGGTGCAGGGAAGTGTGACCACACCAGCCCGCGGTGCTGACCGTTCAGCCCGAGAGGTGGATGCAGCCCTGCAGAAGAGCAGTGAGGTGCTGCAAGGGATTGGGAGATCGCAGCCAGGCAAGGGATGCAAGGGGTCGAGTGCGGTGCCGCAGGGTGCGGGGGTGCTAGCGGGGGTGCGCGTGCTGGTGGTGGACGATGCGGCGGTGAATCTGCTGGTGGCGCGCCGCACTCTCACTCGCAGCGGCGCCACCGTCGCCACCGCAGCCAGCGGGGAGGAGGCGCTGCGGCACGTCAAGCAGGCCTTGGAGGGCCTGGGGGGCAGCGCACACCCCGTGGAGCCTGGCTTGGAGAAAGGCGCTGTAGAGGCGGTGGTGGGGCATGTGGATGTGGTTCTCATGGACCTGCAGATGCCGCTCATGGACGGGTGAGTCGTGTGTGTCGTATAATAAAAAATGTTTTATGGAGGGGTGAGTTGTGGGTGGTGGGTTACATGTGTGTGAGAGATAAGAAAGCTGGGCATCACAGGAAGTGCACATGCCCCTCATAAACAGGTGAGTCGCTCGTGTTGACAGGTGAGTGTGGGCATATGGGCGGATGAGTCATGTGAATGCATGGGTGAATGCCCCACAAATCATGTCGACTGCCTCTCGTTACTCCCCCAGTTCCATGCTTCGCCATGCCTCAACCCTGCCATGCCTCAACCCTGCCATGCCTCAACCCTGCCATGCCTCAAACCTCGTTCTCTCCGCGGCCACTTCTGCCCGTCCCTTGCTGTGATCCCACCCAGGTTGGCATCCACAGAGGCCATACGAACACACAAACAACTTTAACCCGTCCCTGACCTCCTGCTCTCTCCACTCCCATGCCTCTGCCCGTTCCTCGCTGCAATCCCCCCCAGGTTTGCAGCCACAGCCGCCATACGAGCACATGAACAAGCCCTGCGTCTTCATCCCACATCCCCAACAGAAGCTGCAGACAGAGCAGCAACGCAACACACACAATCAAGCTCGCAAGGTTCGAAAGCCCCCACCATCCCTCGGGGCGCAATCAGGCATGCAAGGCTCCTCATAGTGGCGCTGACAGCAGATGTGGATGATGAGGTCACGCGGCGCTGCCTTGCGAGTGGCTTTGATGGCGTTCTGCAGAAGCCTGTCGACCCGAAGCTGCTCTCGCAGCTGCTGCTGCGGCTTGGATTGCCGAGGCTGTGCGCGCCGGGTCTAGGCCAGAGCAGTTCGTTCGCATCTCCCATTTGTTGATGTGGAACATGTGTTACACGTGCTGCGAGGAGCAGTCGGTGTATATTTGTAAATCTGTGTATATTGCATTACATAATGGTCATAAGGGCACGGTTACAAGCTGTGAAGAGTGTTACGGGTTGTCAAACTTAGTGTGCGGGATTAACAAATAACAAAGCAGTGACTATACGAACTGACAATAGAATGGTGGGCAGGGCAACTAAAAGGTCCTATCATTCTGTGACTATGGGTCATGTGTATAAAATATGTTCACTTCAGCAAACAAATCGTATGGGCCACATGGTTACGCGCATGATTACGTATATCGGGTGAGGGTGTGAGGTGGCAGCGCAGTCACACGTGGAGGAGTCGGACTTGACAGTTCAATCGCGGCCGACGTGGCGTACCCTGGCAGCGCGAGGCCGTCAAAGGTTTCACTGCAATTCGGGCTCGAGGCGCCCTGTAAATCTGCCACTCTACAATCACTACCTTCCAAAGATGCTGGAGACTGTCCGTACTTCGTGGAACATTGCCCGTAAAAACATTCAAATGTGATTGTGAATGGCTTCTGATTGCAATTAGTCTGATGAGCAGCATCGACCGTACCTTTCGGTTACGGTTAGCCTACCACTCCAACAGACACAACTTGAACAGCGGTGTGAATAGCGATGCCTTTCAGATCAAAGAGCAGCGGCCCTTGCTAGAAGCTCAGTCTATTAGAGGCGCCTTAGTGGAAGCTTTGAGAGCAGCGAGTTTTGGGATGTCTCAAAAGTTAGAAGCTGTACTTCAGAGGCGCATCAAAGGAAGCCTTGAGAGCATCGGCCATCTTTCGCAGCTTAGCTCACTTGTTTCTCTGAGCCGCCGTTCTACGGAACCGGACAGGGACTGCTGGTACGCAATGTACGCTTAGCATGCATCACCGCTCCGTAAACGTAGCGCCCGCAGGCTACTTCCTGATTCTGCCGCCGTAATGTAATCCTTCTCAGAACGCTTTTCGAGCGAACTACCCCGTCTATGATTTTTTGGGTCGATCCAGAACAAAGAGCGCCTCGTCTAATATCTATCGGCGAGCAAGGCATGGATCGCAACGCCTTGTGCGGCCTCATTGTTTACGGCGGAAGGTCCCTTGCTGTTGCCACCACGCGGCCTTCTCCCTTTCAGCTCGCTCGTCGGCCGTCGCGCATCGTCCCGCATCGTGCGTCGCGCATCGTTGCTCGTCGCTCGTCGCGGAACCTCCTTTTCCTGCTCCTTGTCCTCGCTCTCGCAGCCCGCCTTGCTGCCGCGTCTGGTACGCACGTGATTCGGGCTCTTCCCCTCCCCACTCTCCCCTCTCCCCTCTCTTCCCTCTTCCCCTCTGCCGCGTCTGGTACGCATCTGAAACAAGGCTACGGCGCAGTGGCGCACGACGCGGCTGGCCTGGCCGGCCTGGCGAGTAAGGAGCGGCGCCGTAGCTAAGAGAATAGAAGAGAAGAGAGTCTTGCAGCGGAAGAGAGAAAGCTAAGCTCAGAGATGCCTAGCTCCAGATTCGTAGATGAGAGAAGATAGGAAGAAAGATTCCAAGAATATAGAATTAGAGACGATCCAAGGATGATACAAGTAGAATCTGAGAAGATATTTATCCTAGGAAAGAGAAGCGCGACTCGGATAGGAATACCGTGTCGCCACTCAATCTAGCATAGCATCTCGACATCACGCCTCGATGCTATGATCCGCTGTACTTATCCTCCTGACAGGGATACGGGAGTGTGCTCTATGCTAGCAAGTGGCTGTTCGGAGGGCAACTACCCGTTCGGAAATTCCCATGCATCTCGCATGGTGAATTCCGTCTTGTTACACAATCCCCCCTCCCCCTTCCCCCTCTCCCCGCCTTGCCTATCCGCCTCCTCTCGTTACGTCCACCTCGTTCTCTCCTCTTCTCTCGTGATCGCTCTCATCGGTTTGCGCTGTTCCTGCCGCCAACCGGTATTGTCCCATGCAGATGACGCGGGCTCTCCACCAGCACCAGAAGGTGCTGGTTCGGATTCCAAGCCTGACACCGAGCCTGCCGCCGCGCCTGCTGCTGAACCTGCCTCTGCAAGCAATTCATCAGATTGTAAATCAAGTGAGTGACATGAATGTATCTCTTGAAATGCGCGTGATAATAATGTGTTTATGAGACGTCTCAAAAACACAATATTATCACGTGGCTTTTTAGCAGATTGTAAATCAAGTGAGTGACATGACTGTCTCTCATTGAAAGGCGGCTCCTCCATGCCTTATCCTCTGTGACTTTTGAGTCGACTCAAAAGTCACCTCGATTGTAAATCAAGTGAGTGACATGAATGTCTCTCAACGAAAGGCGACTCCACCATGACTTTTGGGTCGACTCAACAGTCACCAAGCAATTCATCAGATTGTAAATCAAGTGAGTGACATGAATGTCTCTCATTGAAATGCGGCTCCACCATGCCTTATCCTCCATCCTCCTTGTGGCACTAGCGTACTTACTCTCTCTGATGCTATCTTCTTGTAGTGAGTCGTGTTTTGAGTCGACTCAAAACTCGACTCCACCATGCCTTATCCTCCATCCTCCTTGTGGCACTAGCGTACTTACTCTCTCTGATGCTATCTTCTTGTAGTGAGTCGTGTTTTGAGTCGACTCAAAACTCGACTCCACCATGCCTTATCCTCCGTCCTCTTTGTGGCACTAGCTTACTTGCTCTCTCTGATGCTATCTTCTTTCCATCCATCCAAGCAATGTACTACGCAATATCTGTTACCTCCCTCTTTACCTCGCTCTTTACCTCTCTCCTTCTGCCCATTTCGGCCTCGTCTACCCTTCCCTGTGTCCGTTTACCCCCTTCCCAGGCGACACCCCCTGCCCCTGTGTCCGCCCGAGCAATATATCTTGCTCAAGCAATGTACTACGCAATTTCTGTTACCTCCCTCTTCACCTCTCTCCTTCTACCCATTTCCGCCTCCTCTGCCCTTCCATGTGTCCGTTTACCCCCTTCCCCAGGTGACATCCCCTGCCCCTGTGGCCGCCCGTACTCGTGCAATATCTCTTGCTTTCTTGTTCAAGTCATGTTCAAAGCATTGTATTTTACCTCCCTCCTTCAAACCATTCTCTCCCCTCCCCCCCCTTGCTCCCTTCCGCCTCTTTCCCCAGACTACACCCCATCCCCCCTCATGGGTATGCCCCATTTAGTTCACTTAACCAATGCATGTACCCTCCTCCTTCCACCCCCCTGCTCCCTTTCCCCCCCTTTCCCCAGACGACACCCCCCCTGCATGGGTCTGCCCTTGCAATTCCTCCTTCAACCCCTCGCCCAACCCACCACCAGACAGCTCCATCCCCGCTATAGACCTCTTCTATACGGGCGAGTTTGGGTACGAGCTGATTGAAGGAATATATTAGAGAGCGTAGCGATAGCGAGAGAGTCTCTGCTATGGGAATGATGTTGCGCCAGCAACTTGGTAGAGTTTTGGTAGCGTTTGCCTCTAAGGACTTTGTGAGAATTGAAGTAGCATTTGGGCCAAGTAGAATTGCAATATCAATTGTCAAACACACAAGCAAACACAAACATATATAGGCAAGCAAGAGTTGCACAATTGTTGCGTGGCGCTGCGAGTAACCCAACCCACACGAAAGTGCTGTGCAGGTGGGTGAACGCGCCCCGCACATTTCCAGCCCAACTCGGCACCGGAATGTCTCACCGTGCACGCTTCTCCTGCCAACACAGCAAGTGAGCAGCGTGCCTCACAAGCAAGGCACCTACGACCCCCAAGACTCGTCATTCCTAGCACCGATTCCGCCGAGTTCGCTGCAGTAGCTCATAGTCACCCGTAGTCACTAGTGACCGCCACCGAACTCGCGAGTCGGTGCCGAGTAGACTCAGTCGTTAGGCGCCGACCTGCCAAGTCAAAGGTCATCGAGGGCCCTTGCTGTCGTAGGGCCCTCTAACACTCCCCTGCCATACTACAGCAAGGCCCTTTATAATCACAGGGCATGCATACACACATACACACCAAAACAAAGGGATACACACAAACGAAACACGCTCAAAGTGTAAACACGCACCGCACCAGCCATGGATAGGCCATGGCACCATCCACATCATGGAGTGTCTAGGTCTCACTCCCCTCGCTCGAGAGCCGCACCTGCCCCACAGCCTCGAAGCAACGACTGAAGGCGGGGAAATGCAATGCCTTTGTGAGGTAGTCAGCAGGCTGCTCGCTCGTAGGGATGTACTGCAGCTGCAGCTTCCTGCGCTTGACCATGTGCTGCAGCCACATGTGACGACGCTCCATGTGCTTGAGGCTCCCCTTGAGCCCCATGCCACCTGCCACTGAAATGGCGGAGGAGTTGTCCACAAAGAGAGTAGTGGGCTCCTCACTCCTCAGCAGTTGAAACTCCGCCAGCAGGAAGCGCAGCCTGCGCGCCTCCTTCCCAGCCTCCACAGCAGCAACATACTCAGACTCAGTGGAGGAGAGGGTGGCGCAACGAATCCTCTGGCTCGCCCAAGAGACAGCAGCACCCCCGAGCACGAAGACATAGCCACCAGTGCTGGTCCTGTTCTGCTTGTCTCCCGCATCATCAGCATCGGCGTAGCCCACCAGCTCCAAGGACTCCGGCCCCCCACCAAACTCCAACGCCACATCCCTGCTCCCCACCAAGTACGTCAAGCACCGGTCCAACTCCTTCCAGTGCTGATCACTCCGCACAGTCTGGCCCGACCCCAGCTTGCTGCAGGCGAACGAGATGTCGGGACGGGTGGTACAGGCCGCGAACTGCAAGGATCCCACCTTCTGCCTGTACTCCTCCTCCTGGCGAGACTGCCATCCCACATCCTCGAAGGTCTGCACACTGAAAGGGTCAGAGGAAAGAGGGGTGCGAGGCACTCGCAGCGGCTGCTCCCCGTCAAAGAAGCGCCTATGGACCTTGTCCACATAGGCCCCCTGGTGCAGCCACAGCCTCCTCGTGGGCCTGTCCCGAATCAGCTGCAACCCCAGATATTTCTCCACAGGGCTAATCTCCCGCA